CAGTAGGAGTCATACGTAGTGCGAATAATAAATATATTGCAACAGTTGTGGAGGTACCGACGATTATTTACCCACACGCTATATACAAGCAATAGAAAAAGTCTGTAGCTGTCCCTTTCCGCGACCACTGTTCGTCTCCCGCTAAATGGATAATGGAAAACACACTGAAATGTTTCTTTTATCTAATAATGTGTAGAGTGGCCAGTAGGAGTGATGAAAAGTAAAGATAATAGATATATTACAACAGCTGTGGAGGCAGCGACGATTATTTACACACACACTCTATAAACAAGCAATATGAAAAGTCTGTAGCTGTCCCTTTCCGCGACCACTGTTCGTCTCCCGTTAAATGGATAATTGAAAACACACAGGGATGTTTCTTTTATCTAATAATGTGTAGTGTGGCCAGTAGGGGTCATACATAGTGCGAATAATAAATATATTGCAACAGTTGTGGAGGTACCGACGATTATTTACCCACACGCTATATACAAGCAATATGAAAAGTCTGTAGCTGTCCCTTTCCGCGACCACTGTTCGTCTCCCGCTAAATGGATAATGGAAAACACACTGAAATGTTTCTTTTATCTAATAATGTGTAGTGTGGCCAGTAGGAGTGATGGAAAGTAAAGATAATAGATATATTACAACAGTTGTGGAGGCAGCGACGATTATTTACACACACGCTATGTACAAGTGATAGGAAAAGTCTGTAGCTGTCCCTTTCCGCGACCACTGTTCGTCTCCCGCTAAATGGATAATGGAAAACACACAGGGATGTTTCTTTTATCTAATACTGTGTAGTGTGGCCAGTAGGAGTCATACATAGTAAAAATAATAAATATATTACAACAGTTGTGCAGGTAGCGACGATTATTTACATACACTCTACACACAAGCAATATGAAAAGTCTGTACTTGTCCCTTTCCGCGACCAGTGTTCGTCTCCTGTTTAATTGATATTGGAAAACACACAGGGATGGGTTTTTTTATCTCATAATGTGTAGTGTGGCCAGTAGGAGTCACACATAGTAAAAATAATAGATATATTACAACAGTTGTTGAGGCAGCGACGATTATTTACACACACACTCTATACACAAGCAATATGAAAAGTCTGTAGCTGTCCCTTTCCGCGACCACTGTTCGTCTCCTGTTTAATTGATATTGGAAAACACACAGGGATGTTTCTTTTATCTAATAATGGGAAGTGTGGCCAGTAGGAATCATACATAGTAAAGATAATAGATATATTACAACAGCTGTGGAGGCAGCGACGATTATTTACACACACACTCTATAAACAAGCAATATGAAAAGTCTGTAGCTGTCCCTTTCCGCGACCACTGTTCGTCTCCCGTTAAATGGATAATTGAAAACACACAGGGATGTTTCTTTTATCTAATAATGGGAAGTGTGGCCAGTAGGAGTCATACATAGTAAAGATAATAAATATATTACAACTGTTGTGGAGGCAGCGACGATTATTTACCCAGACGCTATATACAAGCAATAGGAATAGTCTGTAGCTGTCCCTTTCCGCGACCACTGTTCGTCTCCCGCTAAATGGATAATGGAAAACACACTGAAATGTTTCTTTTATCTAATAATGTGTAGAGTGGCCAGTAGGAGTGATGAAAAGTAAAGATAATAGATATATTACAACAGTTGTGGAGGCAGCGACGATTATTTACACACACGCTATGTACAAGTGCATGATAGGAAAAGTCTGCAGCTGTCCCTTTCCGCGACCACTGTTCGTCTCCCGCTAAATGGATAATGGAAAACACACAGGGATGTTTCTTTTATCTAATACTGTGTAGTGTGGCCAGTAGGGGTCATACATAGTGCGAATAATAAATATATTACAACAGTTGTGGAGGTAGCGACGATTATTTACATACACTCTTTACACAAGCAATATGAAAAGTCTGTACTTGTCCCTTTCCGCGACCACTGTTCGTCTCCCGCTAAATGGATAATGTAAAACAAACAGGGATGTTTCTTTTATCTAATAATGGGAAGTGTGGCCAGTAGGAATCATACATAGTAAAGATAATAGATATATTACAACAGCTGTGGAGGCAGCGACGATTATTTACACACACACTCTATACACAAGCAATATGAAAAGTCTGTAGCTGTCCCTTTCCGCGACCACTGTTCGTCTCCCGTTAAATGGATAATTGAAAACACACAGGGATGTTTCTTTTATCTAATAATGTGTAGTGTGGCCAGTAGGGGTCATACATAGTGCGAATAATAAATATATTACAACAATTGTGGAGGCAGCGACGATTATTTACCCACACGCTATATACAAGCAATAGGAAAAGTCTGTAGCTGTCCCTTTCCGCGACCACTGTTCGTCTCCCGCTAAATGGATAATGGAAAACACACTGAAATGTTTCTTTTATCTAATAATGTGTAGTGTGGCCAGTAGGAGTCATACATAGTAAAGATAATAGATATATTACAACAGCTGTGGAGGCAGCGACGATTATTTACACACACGCTATGTACAAGTGATAGGAAAAGTCTGCAGCTGTCCCTTTCCGCGACCACTGTTCGTCTCCCGCTAAATGGATAATGGAAAACACACAGGGATGTTTCTTTTATCTAATACTGTGTAGTGTGGCCAGTAGGGGTCATACATAGTGCGAATAATAAATATATTACAACAGTTGTGGAGGTAGCGACGATTATTTACATACACTCTATACACAAGCAATATGAAAAGTCTGTACTTGTCCCTTTCCGCGACCACTGTTCGTCTCCCGCTAAATGGATAATGTAAAACACACAGGGATGTTTCTTTTAACTAATAATGTGTAGAGTGACCAGTAGGGGTCATACATATAAATATATATATATATATACATTACAACAGTTGTGGAGGTAGCGACGATTATTTACACACACGCTACACAAGGATGTTTCCTTTATATGATAATGTGCAGTGTGACATGTCAGTGGCGTAAATATAAAAAACATATTTGTATTATAATAGTTGTGGGGTAGTGGGGTTATTGTTCCCACACCAGGCAACATGAACAGTCTGTAGTTGTCCCTTTCCCAGACCAATATAATTATTTGATCACTGTGTTCGGTTCTTCGCTCAGGATGCTGTACGGGGTACCTTGACTTTACTGAGGGTTTATTGAGAATCACATGTTAAGTAAGGATAAGAATTTATGGATGAACAACTTATTTATTACAATTAAGAGCGACTTTTCGGTGTAGGTTCTAAAGCCGTTATCAAAGTGATATACAGAGCCTGGTTGACAAGTATATACAAGTCGGAAGCAATGTTTATACAGTAGAGTAGATATTGTTATACTGGAGTAGAGAATCCTGTTATGTATATACAAGGCCATTCGTGCAACAAGTTGTCCCAGTTTCCCAGACCAATGCCCGTCCCCCGTACAAATAATAATTGTATAATACTAGTTATGGGGGTATTGTGGCGATGATTTTCCCACAGCCAATGCAAGGCAATAGGAACAGTGTGCAGTTGTTCCTTTCCCAGACCAATGTTCGCGCCCCGTATAAAATAATATGAAACATACGCAATGCTCTTTTTTCATAATAATGTGTAAGAGTGACGTTTCAGTGGACCGAATAAAAAAGCACTGTATTATACCCATTGTAGGGGTAGCCATGAGGATTTTTACATATCTAAAAAAGGCAATATGAAGACTCTGTAGTTGTCACTTTCCCAGACCAACGTACGCCTCTCGTTTAATTGATGGGGAAAATACACAAGGATGTTTCTTTTATATAATAGTAATGTGTAGAGTGACCAGTCAGTGGCTTGAGTATACAAAAAATAATTGTATTAAACTAGTTGTAGGGGTAGCGGCGATGATTTACGCACACGCTATATACAAGGCAATATGAAGAGTCTGTAGTTGTCTGTAGTTGTTTATAAAATAACGAAAATACGCAAAGCTCTATTTCATAACCTATGTGTAGGGTGGCTACAAAGAATACATTCTGAAGAACGTTGACTAGATTAAAGTGAGTCAGCATAAATGGCACTGGATTCGAATATGCCAAAGCATGTATTTTTCCATATTTTTTATCTGTGAATTCGACGATATAGGATATAGTGGTAAAGCTTATGTTAAGTCGAGATTCCCCTTTGATAGAAATTATTTAAATCCGATTGTCAAAAGAAAATATTGTATAAAAAAAGTGAGCTAACCAGTTTAAACATATCTGTTTACCTCTCTGATGACTTGATAGCAAAAAATAAGGGATCAGAGTAAATTAAAGTGGCCTGTGTTCTGAAAAGAAAGTTCGGCTATCGTTTGTCAGCTATATTTGTGAGATTGCGAGAATGTGTATAATGAATATGTATGTATATGTCCGTTCTAGTACCTAGACAAACGGATTTTACAAACATGCATGTATTTATTAGTTTAGGGTAGTGTGATACATTACCACGATGTCTAAAGAGACTGAATCAAACCACAGATGATCTCAATCGTCACCTCATTAACAGTACAGATAAAAAAAATAATGGCTTTAAATGTGTTAAAATTGAGTGAGCTTGATCGAGTAAGTATATATACATATTATATATAAAAGAATACTGCGTTCATAATATTTATTCAGACAAAAATGTATGGAATTGTTATAATTTGACTGGGATTTGTCTATAGATAGCCGCGCATTTCGTATTGTCGTGCGGAAGCTTAAATACAGTATAGTTGAACTACACGCGCGAGTATAACAGGCATACCTCTCGATAAACGTAGCTCTGAGGCCTGGTCTGGGAAAGGGACGTATACTGACTCGACCAAAGTTTAATCTGCAGTCGAAAGTTGATGTCTCTTTTGTTTTCAAGAATTTATAAATATGATAATATATCAATAAATGAGTACATATTTACATATAGTATTAGTATGAATAAAGAATGTGTTTAGAAATGCTTAGAAACATAACATACAGAAAACGCTTTGTGACATACATTCCGCCTTACACTTTTATAAGAAACTCAATGACATTAACTCTTCCGGAGGAGATTGTTTACATTTTTCATCCCTTTTGCAGAAATGTATAAGTATGTCTGTGTTACATTCTTGTTAATTTGTGAACATCTTTGAACTGATGTATAAATAAGCATCAGTATTTTTTTTAAATCAGGTAGATCAAGTCCAGTACGCACCAACAGAGACCATTGGCGATTTAGCCAGATAGGCAATTATAAAAGTTTTATATTTACAATAGGCCCTAATTTTTCTTGTTTTATATGTAACCTGCCTCTTAAAAGCAATTTTATATCAGTGTAGAATTTTGTATCCACCTCAAGGTACATTCAGTAAAACTCTCATTGTATGCAATGCCATGTATTGAGGAGATAAACCTTGGTACTTGATTCTTAAACGTAATTATATAGGTTCATGTCCAACACCAGTATTGTCAGATCAGAGATTTTTGGACATCATACTTTTTCGGACAGCCATGGTTATCCGATTACTCGCGCTTAACAAGAGGTGTGGTGTCACACAGACGTATAAATACTCAGATGATGACTCATTTTTAAGATAAACCCGTCTTTTAGAAGTTTTACAGCTGTTCTTGTGATGGGTGCAGGATAAAACGGCACCTCAGCAAAACATCACGGATTTCTCTGGCAAAAACAGCATCGCATTTGGCGAAAACGGCTACTATGTGACAGGCGAAAACGGCACCTCTACTTTTAATAATGCTAAGAACGATTTTTGTAGTAATATATATATATGGTTTATTTACATGGTCACAGTTATGGGTAGAATAGGTCTTCAGCAACCCATACTTGCCGTAAAAGGCGACTATGCTTGTTGTAAAAGGGGACTAACGGGATCGGGTAGTCAGACTCGCTGACTTGGTTGATACATGTCATCGATCCCAAAAGCGTGGATCGATGCTCATGATATTAATCACTGGATTGTCTAGTCCAGACTCGATTATTTACAGACTGCCGTCATATAGCTGGAATATTGCTGTGTGCGGCGTTAAACAACCAACCAACCAACCACAGTTATCACATGATACAGCATGTGGTTTTTTTCTGACATTCTTCTCACATGCAACACATCGAAAGGCCATTGTGAATAATTGTGATCTGACAGCACCATGTTAGGCCTCTTAAATACAATTTCAGCTTAAATTGAGTAAAGGTACTTAAAACTTCAAAGCATATAGTGTTTTCACAGTAAGTTAACTGCACCTCCCAATCAGAGTCGGCGAGTAAATTGGAGTAGGGGTCTAATTTCTTACTTGTTTTATTTCACAATTTCACAATTATTTGTGTTTTGTAAGAGACGATGTGAGTTTAATTTCTATTATTTTTTTCAAAGCATGTTATGTTTTCACAATAAGTTGAGTTGCGTATAAGCTAAGTTGGATTATAGTTGGAGTAGAAGCTAATTTCTAATGTAAACTTGTTTTAACATCTCACAATTATTGGTGTTTGCAAGTTACCATGTAAGTTATATATTTTATTTGACCAAGGTAACAAAAAATAAGGTGCCGTTTTCGCCAGGCAATAGTAGCCGTTTTCGCTTGAGTCGAGGTGCCGTTTTCGCCAATCGGTGACGTTTTGCTGAGGTGTCGTTTTCGCTATAACCCCTTGTGATTAACGAGAAAATTACAAATGTTTCTTGAGCGTCTGAAAACCCATAACACAGGGATAAATTTAGTAGTAGTAGATCAGCCATCTTTTTAATTCTTTCATCACCATGCATGCATATACTATTTTAGTGGTTTGGCCACATCAGTCTATCACAGTAGTAAACATCTATGAACTGATTCACTACAGGCCTTCCTCCCCATTTAAAGGCCCATCTGTCAAACTTTCTGAAGCATTGTTTGCAAACGATAGCCAATAACCTCCAAGCTTACTCGTCTCTGCTCAGCTTATTCCGCAAAAGAAGTTTCTGCTCTAGTAACTACACTGCCGGTGTAGGCTTATCACGTGACCAGCCTTTTCTCGTTGTTTATCAACAAACACACCTTTTCTGAAATAAGAACTGACAGGCCTAATGCAAGTCTTTAGGTGTGCTTTACGTATTGTTTTCCATAATTATATAGATAGGTTACTACAACTGTGAGAGTGACAATGACAATATAGATTTACACATAGCTCACCTTAGGGCTTCCATGACAGCATGTCGAGACGTACAACCAGTGTAGACAAAGGACAAGCACGCATATGGAAATAGCTTTTCAAGTTTTTGGATATTTTCTCAATGAAAGTTAAACAGGTGAAAAACATATGCAATATCTTAATGGACTGTGTAAGATTTGACAATGTGGCAGAGGTATTATGCTGGCCGCAAGGAATTCTGGTTAGGAAAGTGTTCTGCAACGTGATTGGCGTTAGACAGACAAGGCATTTACGTTGTAGTCTAGGCTTTGAAAAGAATTTCAGATGGCCTCTCAGTCGCCAGTCATAGCCTGATAAAATTTCAATTTGAGAGATGGTATGTTTAAGATGACAGATTTTTGACCGCAAGAAATGTTTCATAATTTCACAATTAGAAAGTAAATGGCAAGGATATGTCCTACTTACAGTATCCATAGCATGGCCATCAAAAATCATAATTCTAATAATAATTCTGAGCAGTATATGTCTATGCATCATACTTTCTGTATCTTAGTGAAATGCTGCCAGGAGCTATAGTGACTTAGTCAAATGCTTTACTTATCGCAATATTAATAAAGGTGTATTGGCCATTGTGAACTGATTAAAGGCTGTCCAAATCGAAATTTGTGTTTTGTTTATTTGACTTATTGACTTTTGCAATTTTCGAGTATTATGCACAGTCAAATATTTTTTCGACTCGTCTCAGATACAGTCAGCTGAGAACTTGTGAGCTGAGAACTTGGACAAAACACTGATTTCGATTCCAATCAAACTGGCAATTAGTATTTTGTAACTCATCCGTAAGAAAATCACACACTATGTATTGCAATACAGTTCAACCCTATATTATGTATATGGGCCAAAGGCCTTCAATACAAATAACCCCTTTTTACACCATTGCAGGAAACCATTTCCCCTACAATGTGACTGAGGTGTAGCCAACTGATTGGGAGGCATCTACAGTAGACTATCAAGATGTATTCTGAGTGGGCCTCGCTTCAGGAGGAGATCCAGTGTGACAAGGGCAACCAGTCTGTGCTCCACAAGTTCCCGGCTCAAGTAGGGCGAGATGTGGCCTGCAGTGTGGTCCGCCATATATCAGGGAACCTCAGCATCGCTGCTGCCAACGATGAACCCAGCAGTCTGCAGGATGACAAGGACATCAAGTGGACCATGGAGGTATTGTTTGGGTGTTATTAAAGGGAGTCCTTGGTCTTTGACTGCTGTAGCATAGTATTATTGTGAGTGAGTTGGGTTTAACGCCGCTTTGAACAGTATTCCAGTTATATCAAGGCGTGTCAGCTCAATGTGGGAGGAAAGCTTGAAGTGATGCAGGTCTCAGACGTTTACCACTTCGGTGAAACCCGCAAGCACGGGTATGGTGCTGACAAACCTAGAAAGATAATTGGGGTGAACCAGGATTTGAACCCACAATCATAGGTTTCTGGCGTGGCCAAGGCACACAACTCTGCACAGCGACGACCTTAGACGACTGGGCCACCTGGCCCCATATTATAACCTCGACGATCCATAAATCTTTAAGTTAATATAAGGACTCTTTTCCTTCCTTGCTCAATTCTGAACAGTGTTTGTGTCTGGTGGTTACAAATGGTGGCATGGGTAGCCTGAGGTGCGGAAATTAGCTTTGCAGAGTTGTTTCCCTTAGACACATGTGAGATATCAGGATTTGCTGGTCATGGGTTCAAATGAAGATTAGTCTCACCAGTGTTAAACCTCTATGACCTGTATCACTTGGACTGTACTCCAACATCAAGCTGACATGATGTGATCTTAAGAGCGAAAGCGAGTTAGATATGCTTTGTAACAATGAGTTGTAAGATAAATGGTATCTGACAGGCATGAATGCAGTAATCTGTTTCTTACACATCCTAAAATCGCGCCTTTTTAGCATCGAATCGATGCATAATTAAAATATTGTTCAAAGCCTTAACCTTAAAAACGTGTAGTGTGTGTCCCTCGTTATGCTCATGATTAGAGTTCCAATCTCTACATAGGTACAGACAGTTGTATGAACTGAAATACTGTTGAATCCAACTCACTCGCTCAGTTCAACCCTATCCAGTGCATCAGGGGCGGTTGGGTAGCCTAGTGGTTAAAGCGTTCGCTCGTCACGCTGAAGACCCGGGTTCGATCCCCGATATGGGTACAATGTGTGAAGCCCATTTCTGGTGTCCCCCGCTGTGATATTGCTGGAATATTGCTAAAAGCGGCATAAAACCATACTCACTTACTCACTCACTATCCAGTGCATCATCTTTATCATGAGTGAGTGATTATGGTTTTACGATGCCTTTTAGCAATATTCCAGCAATATCACGGTGGGGGACCTGTATCATGAAGTCAAATCAGGGCTGTCAGTGATACTGGGTTAATTGAGGTTTGTTTTGAAATAACTATTGTTTTGGACAGCATCATGTTTAGAAAATATATTTTCAATCAACACAGAAATTTAATGTTCCTTTTTTTAAAGTCACAAAAGGTAGTGTAAGTTGTTATCTTATATAAATGAACAACTAACTATATTTTTTACTTATCCTGCATTACTCCTCAATGCATTCACTGCTTACCTTACGACAACTAGAATGACAGTGCAACAGCGATGGTCCTAGGTGAAGAAATAAAGTTGTTGTTCTGAAGTCACTTTTACTTACACTCGCCACTGTCCTGTGACCTTGATGACACCTAAGGTCACCTTCTTTACATCACTGCTTGTCGCACAACAGCAAGGACTTGTTCCAGCGGAGCTCTCCTTTTGGATTTAATTAGACCTTCAATTTTCGTCTACAATCCTAAAATTGATCTGCGATGGGTGATGTATTCTTTTCATATTACTTTCACCATGTTGTGAAGTTTTATGTGAATTAATTAGGCGTAAAAAGACTCTGTCTTTTTTCCTGCCACATATTTGTTGTTCACCGCCATTTTGAATTGTGTTACAATTGTTTGCCTGCCAATGTAGTCAAATTGTTTACAATTCTCAGCTAAGTATGTATAACATAAGGTGTAACAGTGAGTTGCGTATATATAGATTATTGTATACACTTTCAACTCGTTAAAAATATGTTTGCCGATAGATTAATATCAATTCTACGGCATTCTTCCAGTTCTGTCTCATCAACAATGGTTTAATTGCGTAACTTTTGCTTGAGTGTTGTACTAATTGTTGTGGAAAAAACCTTACAAAGATTATCATCCATGTGGGTTGGCTTGCACGCATATGTGTTCACAAAAAATCTAAAAGTAAAAAGCTTTGGTTTACATTGAGTTGCGTATATAAAAAGATTGTATACACTTTCAACTCGTATTTTTGCATATAGATTATTGTTCAATTCTACGGCATTCTTCCATTTCTGTCTCATCAACAATGGTTTAATTGCGTAACTTTTGCTTGAGTGTTGTACTAATTGTCGTAGAAAAAATCTTACAAAGATTATCATCCATGTGGGTTGGCTTGCACGCAGATGTGCTCACCAAACTCTTACTGTAAATAGCCTTGGTTGACTTTGAGTTGGGTATATAAAAATATTGTATACACTTTGTAACTTATGCTTGTGCATTGTACATATTGTCGTGGAAAAAATCAGCCAAAGACCTTTATCCAAATTCTAATTGTAATTTTTGTGTAAATCTCTCTCAACGAGCAGAAGTGCACCCTCCACTGAAATCAACAATAACGGAAGATTTTGTGAGTATCGTAACTGCTCCTAATTTTCAGCCGCCTGAGACATCCAGATCTGCTAAATCTGCGACGCTGGCGCCACCACCAGCGTCTCAAGATGCTTTGATGGGGGTAGTTGCCCACGCAAGCCATGATCCAGTCAATACCAATATGCTTTGTGTCTCAGTTACCTGCGCCGAGCGCAGCGCCTGACTACTACCAATGGTCCAAGCGATTCTACAATGATCCAGTCATCACCGATGAGCCTTGTCTCATAGGCCTGCACTGAGCGCAGCCTCTGTCTACCAATCAAGGCCTCTACAATGACATCAGCCCAAGAGCTCACAGTGTACTCAATTACGCAACTGACACATGATCAGCCTAGCGATGTTCCAACAACTTTGGCACAAGTGTAAGCACCTACACCTGCACCTAACATATACCAAACGCCTAATGTGTTTTCTGGTACAGCATACATCGCTGGGCAGCGCTAGTGGGCCAGCGTGTACGGGAACATCGGCACATGGCTCCTTATCCAGGCGGGTCATCAAAGCTTTCTGATAGAGGAGGCACTCTGCACTGGAGCAGATTGGGTAGCAAACCATCTCGTGTCAGTGACGCCCTCCCCTGGTAACGGGGTAAATAAGAGGGACACCACGAGGTCATCGGAGGAGGACTTCTCCAAATTTACATTTGCTCGGTCATTTAAGCCAACATTGTCAATGCTTGCGGTGGATCAGGATCTATCAGAGGATAACCCTTTCTGATTAGATCACTTCCAAACTATGGTCAGATTCCTTCAGCGTCAGATTGACCCAAGGAAAATTCATCTTGAGGCCGCCCTGGCGAAGATTACCATCACACACAGACTTTAGAGTTTTCCAACTGGGACCCTGATTTCAAAGGCATGCTTCTACGTAAATCTTGGTCATCTACTCCCCTGTTCAGTGAACAGATCGCAGACACATGCCAAGTTCCCAAAACGCTTGGAATGACACTGTGCTCAAGACTCTAGAGCATGTCTCTTTTAGTCAATTCCAGCAGGCTGGCAGGTCAGGCAATTATAAGCCTTGACGAGCGTCTACACGTAAAGGTAACCCCAGTGTTGACCACAGTTCAACTTTGAAAATCCAACATAGACATACTGTTGGTAAGAAGAGCTGTAGAGTTGGCTCACAACCCAGTCTTTACACCAGGGTTTTATCCTCACATCTGCCTGGTACGCATGAAGGACCCAGACAAGATGAGAATGATCCAGAATCTCTCTGTGTTCAACGAACGTTATCTGAAGCGTCCACATTATTGCTGCCTCACCACTTTGAGACCGCTCAGAATCAACATTAGTGTGTACGATCCTTGAACATCTCTTGTCATCTGCTATACACCAACCATGCACGCTTCACCAAGGGCAAGTGTTGCTAGGGTTACTCACCTCGGCACAGGACTTAACTAGCATTGGCCGGTTACAACTGCACCCAATTCTTCATTTCCTGAACCCTTACATCAGGCGTCAGGATCCACTCAAGGCCATCACTCTACTGGCAATATCCACAAACAACAGCACTGTGGAACAACGCACTCCCAATCTCTTCTTCTACAGACATTCAGATTTTTCAATCTAGTAGATTGACTGCAACTACAATTCGTAGTTCAGCACATCCCCGGATGTCGAAACATTCTGGCTGATGCTTTATCGCGTCCAGACAGGGTGGCCCCCACCGAGTGGAAACTTCACACAGAAGCATTCCAGTTACTGCTTCAGAAGTTCAGGCAACCAAACATTGACATTTTTGCTACTTGCCTAGACCACCAACTGATGACGTATGTCTCCCCGTTACCGGATCTGCAGACTTGGGCAGTGGACATGTTCAGTATCCCTTGGGAAGGGCTAAAAGCATATGCTTTACCGCCAACACTTTTACTTCCCAAGGTGATACAAGGAATCAAGGAGACAAGGTATCTTGCTCTCACTTTGGTCGTGCATTGGTGGACGTCGAGAGGGTGGTTCGTTGAGCTCAGAAAATTTGGCAGAAGACGATCCACTACGCCTCCCACAGTGGTCCAACCTACTCATCCACCCTCACAGCGTCCCCAAAGACACTTGGAAGGTAGCACCATTACTACGTAATTGGTTGCACTTGAACTCAGTGTTGGCTGTTCCGGAAAATCGTAAGGTGATTAAGGTCACGGAACTACAGGCCCTATTACTCTCATTCAGGCTTGAGGATCAGAAGGTCAAGTTCCGCCCACCTCTTTGGGACTTGAACGTGGTACTTCGAGGTTTGCGAGGGCCCCCTTCGAGCCCCTCTATGCATCCTCATTTTATGACCTCACCAAGGAAACAATGGTTTCTCTTGGCATTAGCCACGGCGGCACGGGTGAGGGAACTACATGCGATCGACACCACCCATGTCAGCTTTGAGCATGAGACGCACAGAGCAGTACATTAGGTTTTGCTGGGATTTTATTGCTAAAATCAACTACCAGGCCAACCCGATCGTTCTCTCACAATCCCACCAATATCAACTATTGTGGGAGCCATACATGGAGGTGAATTTCTCTTGGACTCATTGCAAGCAGTTCGAGTTTTCATTCGCCGCTCCAAGACTAGGCGTGATTTGAGGAAGTGATTATTTATACCCTTGTTTACAACGTCCACGACCGAAGTTAGTTGCAAACACCATATCCCTATGGTTAGGCGCCGTCATACTTCAGGCTTACGTGATTGCCAGACAGAATCAGCCGAGAGCTAATTACCCTCACAATCTCAGAGCTTTGGCCTTTACCATGGCTCTACACTCCAATTGTTTTATTAGAACAATCACGGAAGGATATTTCTGGAGGTTCGACACAGTTTTCGTGAGTCTTCGCTTTGTTGCTCTCGAGGACGTCGAAGGCGTGCAAAGATTTGGTCCTCTGGCAGGTTACCAACACCCGACACAAAAAATGAACTTGCCCTATACAGAGCCAGCCTACTTCCATGAGCAGTCACTCAGTTTCCGCCAGTGGAAGAACATTAGACAATCTTGTTTGTCAACGACGGCTCTATGACATAGTAAGTAAAGAATTAGCTGATTAGCTATTATTTTCTTTATTACTAAATGAGTATAGAGAATTTCAATATGTTCAATCGTTTTGATATTTGAACAACCCAACCGTAATGGCGTTTTTCTGAACTTTTCCGCTTCACGGTTTATCGGCCAACTGGTGTCGTATTTCAGGGTGTGAATTATTCAGTATTCTGAAGGTTTGCCCACCTCCAAACCGTCCGATACAGATGCATTAAGGAGTAATGCAGGATAAGTAAAAAATTAAGTCAAATCTAAATATTTTTTACATTTTTATACTTATCCTGCATTACTACGTTTAAGGCCCACCCGTCGCATACTTCCCTCCCAACTTTGGCTTCAGAAACCTCAAATGTATGTTTTTCTAAGAGCTTGGGCGACAGGCAGTTATGTGAAGAAGGTGACCTTAGGTGTCATCAAGGTCACAGGATAGCGGTGAGGGTCAGTAAAAGAAAAGGACTTCAGAACAACAACTTTATTTCTTCACCAAGGACCATTGTCGTTGTCGTAAGGTAAGCAGTGAATGCATTAAGGTGTAATGCAGGATAAGTATACAAATATAAAAAATATTTAGATTTTACTAATTTTCTAATTTGTATTTAAGAAATAAATGACGAGTGGGAGTTGTTTATTTCATATATTGGATATCAATATGTACAGCCTCTTTAATGATGTTAATAAAATGTACAGGCTTTAACATGTTTAAAAATATTTACCTGTATTTGAATAATAATGACTCCCTGAATAGAATCCGACTTGGCAATGTCAGACAAGTCCATTTTATGAACTGGGGGATTAAATTTGGTCCTTCCCGCATATTCTCACAATTCTGATGTTGATTATCTGTCCCTTTTCTCCCAATACTGGTTGTTATATATCCCCTACTTTTGCCCAGCTACATCTATGGGGAACAACTCACTAGACACTTCCCTCTCAAAAATAACTGCGTCTAATTTACGACGTAATCAAGTTACAAGGGCATGTTCGAATCTCCAGAAATGACGGATGGAACAGTGTTTTATCGTGAAATAAGCCACGCTTCGTTCTTAATTGTTCTTTGCGATTATTCAGGTAGCTATCTTATTTTTTCTAATACAAGTGTCACAATGTTCTTAAATCAGAGCAAGTGTATTAGAGGTCAAACACAATATACTGCAATAGCTACTGAGAGAGGTACAGTTTATTAGAAATGAGATACAAGATGTAAATTCTATATTTTTGTTTGTGCAGTGATAACATATATTCTCTTCCTTTCCCCATGTTCCTAGCTTCACAATATCCCCTGCCATGTCCTGCCATAAATATATTTGCCCATATCCACTTACATTTACAGATCACTTTATTCACCATAGTAATTCCCAGCTCACTTCCAACTTCCCTCACGTTAAAAATACTCTGTATCATGTTACATTTAAACTATCCCACAATGCACCATTCTATCCTCTGCTCATGCCCAGTACTACGGACATGATGTCACAATGTTTTCTTATATTAACCCCAACAGCCGTGATATTGTTTACCTATTTCTGTCATTGTCTATACCAGCTGCAGCGATACCCTCCATCCATCCCCTGTCTCCACCTTTGGGCTATTCGGTTTCATATATTTATGTAGCAACCAGGGCTTCACAAGTCATTCCATCCCCTGCATACTGCATAGGAATGGCTTGTGGCCCCCAAAGTACCTTTCTTCCAATTTACAGTCCAGGGCCGGCATGGTTGCAGGACTTGTTCATTACCCACAGGGTAACTAGCATTCTACCTTTTCATTCATACCAGCAGGGTTTTTCATTCATACCCGCAAGGTATGTCTTTTATGTAGCGACCGAGTAGCCCCTAATATATTGCCAATGTTATTAATAAATATTTTCATGAATCCTATTGTTTTGTTGTTACTGCTCGAAGTACATGGTAAGTGATAATCGATCTAAAGAAATTAGGGTGGCTACCTAATTGTAGTGCAGTGGGACTTCCTGCAAGTTACAGATTTCGCAGGTGCTTGTTGAACACTTATTCCATTTGGCTGCTACTACAACTGGTAAACAAGGGTTTTTGTACATGTTGGAAGAATTATCGGTTACGCAACAGAGTGAGTGAGTTGGGTTTAATTCCAGTTATATCACAACGTTACGCAACAGAGAGTTTCAGCATGAACATAATATGATAGTGAATATTCATTCTATTGCGTACTTAATACACTTGGTAGACTAAGTTAAACAGTACCGGTATTACAGTACTAAGACTGAATTATTTGTTTTTATGTATTTTGCAAAATTTAACATGACTACAAACATGACAAAATGCAAAAAAGTTTTGTGGATTTTAATTGCAATCATCAAACATACGGTTTTACAAAAAGCTGCATCCCTGCTTAAAATACAATACAATGCAATAGAATACAATATGTGAGCTATTTGTGACAGACTGCATGGTTTCTTATTCAGATCCCAATTTGAAGGGACATAATTAAGAAAATAGATGTGACAAAAAACTCTTTTTTTAATACATAGATTATAACATGTGGAGTTCATCAGATTTGCAAGAAATACATCTTTGAATAACTGTAATTTATACATATTTTAATTACAAGGATCCATAGTGATTCTTTTAATTCCTAGTCAAGTCAAATTAGGTACAGTCATGTATGTTTGGTTTCTCGACAAGTTTCAATTATGGATTTAAATACACAAATAGTAAGCATGGTAAAGATTACAAAAATAGTTTTCAAACATACATTAAGGAAATACATGAGACACTAAAAACAGTTCAATAGGGTTGACATTCAATGAAACCTGTAATTAAATTTTTAATAGGTAAATGTGCCTAAGAGGAGTCCTCATTAACTGCATTATATTCAGAGTTTTCACTCTCTGAATCAGAGAGAGTATCTGTGCTGCTTGCAGCAAGATCTCCTTGTTCTGATGATGAGGAGTCCTCATTATCTGCATCATATCCAGAGTTTTCACTCTGTGAATCAGAGAGTGTATCTGTGCTGCTTGCAGCAAGATCTCCTTGTTCTGATGATGAGGAGTCCTCATTATCTGCATCATATCCAGAGTTTTCACTCTCTGAATCAGAGAGTGTATTTGGACTGCTTGCAGCAAGATCTCCTTGTTCTGATGATGAGGAGTCCTCATTATCTGCATCATATCCAGAGTTTTCACTCTCTGAATCAGAGAGTGTATTTGGACTGCTTGCAGCAAGATCTCCTCAATCTGATGATGAGGAGTCCTCATTATCTGCATCATATCCAGAGTTTTCACTCTCTGAATCAGAGAGTGTATTTGGACTGCTTGCAGCAAGATCTCCTCAATCTGATGATGAGGAGTCCTCATTATCTGCATCATATCCAGAGTTTTCACTCTCTGAATCGGAGAGTGTATCTGTGCTGCTTGCAGCAAGATCTCCTTGTTCTGATGATGAGGAGTCCTCATTATCTGCATCATATCCAGAGTTTTCACTCTCTGAATCAGAGAGTGTATTTGGACTGCTTGCAGCAAGATCTCCTTGTTCTGATGATGAGGAGTCCTCATTCTCTACATCATATCCAGAGTTTTCACTCTCTGAATCAGAGAGTGTATTTGGACTGCTTGCAGCAAGATCTCCTTGTTCTGATGATGAGGAGTCCTCATTATCTGCATCATATCCAGAGTTTTCACTCTCTGAATCAGAGAGTGTATTTGGACTGCTTGCAGCAAGATCTCCTTGTTCTGATGATGAGGAGTCCTCATTATCTGCATCATATCCAGAGTTTTCACTCTCTGAATCAGAGAGTGTATTTGGACTGCTTGCAGCAAAATCTCCTTGTTCTGATGATGAGGAGTCCTCATTATCTGCATCATATCCAGAGTTTTCACTCTCTGAATTAGAGAGTGTATCTGTGCTGCTTGCAGCAAGATCTCCTTGTTCTGATGATGAGGAGTCCTCATTCTCTACATCATATCTAGAGTTTTCACTCTGTGAATCAGAGAGTGTATCTGTGCTGCTTGCAGCAAGATCTCCTTGTTCTGATGATGAGGAGTCCTCATTATCTGCATCATATCCAGAGTTTTCACTCTCTGAATCAGAGAGTGTATTTGGACTGCTTGCAGCAAGATCTCCTTGTTCTGATGATGAGGAGTCCTCATTATCTGCATCATATCCAGAGTTTTCACTCTCTGAATCAGAGAGTGTATTTGGACTGCTTGCAGCAAGATCTCCTTGTTCTGATGATGAGGAGTCCTCATTATCTGCATCATATCCAGAGTTTTCACTCTCTGAATCAGAGAGTGTATTTGGACTGCTTGCAGCAAGATCTCCTTGTTCTGATGATGAGGAGTCCTCATTATCTGCATCATATCCAGAGTTTTCACTCTCTGAATCAGAGAGTGTATTTGGACTGCTTGCAGCAAGATCTCCTTGTTCTGATGATGAGGAGTCCTCATTATCTGCATCATATCCAGAGTTTTCACTCTCTGAATCAGAGAGTGTATTTGGACTGCTTGCAGCAAAATTTCCTTGTTCTGATGATGAGGAGTCCTCATTATCTGCATCATATCCAGAGTTTTCACTCTCTGAATCAGAGAGTGTATTTGGACTGCTTGCAGCAAGATCTCCTTGTTCTGATGATGAGGAGTCCTCATTATCTGCATCATATCCAGAGTTTTCACTCTCTGAATCAGAGAGTGTATTTGGACTGCTTGCAGCAAGATCCCCTTGTTCTGATGATGAGGAGTCCTCATTCTCTACATCATATCCAGAGTTTTCACTCTCTGAATCAGAGAGTGTATTTGGACTGCTTGCAGCAAGATCTCCTTGTTCTGATGATGAGGAGTCCTCATTATCTGCATCATATCCAGAGTTTTCACTCTCTGAATCAGAGAGTGTATTTGGACTGCTTGCAGCAAGATCTCCTTGTTCTGATGATGAGGAGTCCTCATTATCTGCATCATATCCAGAGTTTTCACTCTCTGAATCAGAGAGTGTATTTGGACTGCTTGCAGCAAGATCTCCTTGTTCTGATGATGAGGAGTCCTCATTATCTGCATCATATCCAGAGTTTTCACTCTCTGAATCAGAGAGTGTATTTGGACTGCTTGCAGCAAGATCTCCTTGTTCTGATGATGAGGAGTCCTCATTATCTGCATCATATCCAGAGTTTTCACTCTCTGAATCAGAGAGTGTATTTGGACTGCTTGCAGCAAGATCTCCTTGTTCTGATGATGAGGAGTCCTCATTATCTGCATCATATCCAGAGTTTTCACTCTCTGAATCAGAGAGTGTATTTGGACTGCTTGCAGCAAGATCTCCTTGTTCTGATGATGAGGAGTCCTCATTATCTGCATCATATCCAGAGTTTTCACTCTCTGAATCAGAGAGTGTATTTGGACTGCTTGCAGCAAGATCTCCTTGTTCTGATGATGAGGAGTCCTCATTATCTGCATCATATCCAGAGTTTTCACTCTCTGAATCAGAGAGTGTATTTGGACTGCTTGCAGCAAGATCTCCTTGTTCTGATGATGAGGAGTCCTCATTATCTGCATCATATCCAGAGTTTTCACTCTCTGAATCAGAGAGTGTATCTGTGCTGCTTGCAGCAAGATTTCCTTGTTCTGATGATGAGGAGTCCTCATTATCTGCATCATATCCAGAGTTTTCACTCTCTGAATCAGAGAGTGTATTTGGACTGCTTGCAGCAAAATCTCCTTGTTCTGATGATGAGGAGTCCTCATTATCTGCATCATATCCAGAGTTTTCACTCTCTGAATTAGAGAGTGTATCTGTGCTGCTTGCAGCAAGATCTCCTTGTTCTGATGATGAGGAGTCCTCATTCTCTACATCATATCTAGAGTTTTCACTCTGTGAATCAGAGAGTGTATCTGTGCTGCTTGCAGCAAGATCTCCTTGTTCTGATGATGAGGAGTCCTCATTATCTGCATCATATCCAGAGTTTTCACTCTCTGAATCAGAGAGTGTATTTGGACTGCTTGCAGCAAGATCTCCTTGTTCTGATGATGAGGAGTCCTCATTATCTGCATCATATCCAGAGTTTTCACTCTCTGAATCAGAGAGTGTATTTGGACTGCTTGCAGCAAGATCTCCTTGTTCTGATGATGAGGAGTCCTCATTATCTGCATCATATCCAGAGTTTTCACTCTCTGAATCAGAGAGTGTATTTGGACTGCTTGCAGCAAGATCTCCTTGTTCTGATGATGAGGAGTCTTCATTATCTGCATCATATCCAGAGTTTTCACTCTCTGAATCAGAGAGTGTATTTGGACTGCTTGCAGCAAGATCTCCTTGTTCTGATGATGAGGAGTCCTCATTATCTGCATCATATCCAGAGTTTTCACTCTCTGAATCAGAGAGTGTATTTGGACTGCTTGCAGCAAGATCTCCTTGTTCTGATGATGAGGAGTCCTCATTATCTGCATCATATCCAGAGTTTTCACTCTCTGAATCAGAGAGTGTATTTGGACTGCTTGCAGCAAAATTTCCTTGTTCTGATGATGAGGAGTCCTCATTATCTGCATCATATCCAGAGTTTTCACTCTCTGAATCAGAGAGTGTATTTGGACTGCTTGCAGCAAGATCTCCTTGTTCTGATGATGAGGAGTCCTCATTATCTGCATCATATCCAGAGTTTTCACTCTCTGAATCAGAGAGTGTATTTGGACTGCTTGCAGCAAGATCCCCTTGTTCTGATGATGAGGAGTCCTCATTCTCTACATCATATCCTGAGTTTTCACTCTCTGAATCAGAGAGTGTATTTGGACTGCTTGCAGCAAGATCTCCTTGTTCTGATGATGAGGAGTCCTCATTATCTGCATCATATCCAGAGTTTTCACTCTCTGAATCAGAGAGTGTATTTGGACTGCTTGCAGCAAGATCTCCTTGTTCTGATGATGAGGAGTCCTCATTATCTGCATCATATCCAGAGTTTTCACTCTCTGAATCAGAGAGTGTATTTGGACTGCTTGCAGCAAGATCTCCTTGTTCTGATGATGAGGAGTCCTCATTCTCTACATCATATCCAGAGTTTTCACTCTCTGAATCAGAGAGTGTATTTGGACTGCTTGCAGCAAGATCTCCTTGTTCTGATGATGAGGAGTCCTCATTATCTGCATCATATCCAGAGTTTTCACTCTCTGAATCAGAGAGTGTATTTGGACTGCTTGCAGCAAGATCTCCTTGTTCTGATGATGAGGAGTCCTCATTATCTGCATCATATCCAGAGTTTTCACTCTCTGAATCAGAGAGTGTATTTGGACTGCTTGCAGCAAGATCTCCTTGTTCTGATGATGAGGAGTCCTCATTATCTGCATCATATCCAGAGTTTTCACTCTCTGAATCAGAGAGTGTATTTGGACTGCTTGCAGCAAGATCTCCTTGTTCTGATGATGAGGAGTCCTCATTATCTGCATCATATCCAGAGTTTTCACTCTCTGAATCAGAGAGTGTATCTGTGCTGCTTGCAGCAAGATTTCCTTGTTCTGATGATGAGGAGTCCTCATTCTCTACATGACATTTAGAGTTTTCACTATCTACTTCCGAGAGAGGTTTTGTCCTCCCTGCATCATCAAGGCATTGAAGGTTTGGGCTTTCTTGGTTGCGTTTAGGTTTTTGGTCTTTGCATTCTGCATCAGATGGGAAATGCTGATTATTTTGGCCTCTTTGTAAGGTACCCATTGTTGACTGACTTTTGGATGATTCTTCCTCCTCAATCTGTTTAGAGTTGGAGTAACCTGGTGAGGATATTTCATTATCATGAAGTGAATTCAGGTTGCTGTCTTTGTTCAATGACACCTCAGGGCTTGCTGTCTCTGCCACTGCTTCTTTTCCTGCCTGGGTTTCTGTGTCATCTGATCCTCCAGGGTTTGTTAGAAATCCTCCAGAGGCTACAATCTGGGTTACGCTTCTTTGGGTGCCCTGTGGGGTAGTTGAGCCTGACATGCTTGTTGCCAAGAGCCCTTTGTGAGATGTTTGGTCAGACTGACCACTTTGGATGAAGATTGTCTCATCCATTCTGAAAGCAGATGACATTCTGTGTAAGATTTAGGTCTTCCTGATAATTTATTAATGATGTTGTTTATGTATATGGTATAGAAACTCATTGGGGATTCTAGGGCAGAATGTGTTCCCAGTGCCCCATGTTTGTTGTAAGATCCAACTAGGATCCACTGGTAACATCATTGCACCTGGATGAATGTGTGCCATTAGGCTCGGACAACATGCCTGGCCCACACTATACAGCAACATAACACATCATTCACTTGTTTGGATTCTGGATAAGAATTCAGAGGTACCCAGCAACATATGCTTTTAGTTAGAAGTGTCTAAATGAATTGAGTACTAAACTTGGTGACTTGCTATTGTCAATCACTGCTTAATGCTGTTGAGCAAGTAGCCACTTATTACATTTAAATGTATTAAAGGCAATTTAAAAATATATGAACCAACAAAAAATTGATAGCTAAAATATTCATGTTCAAGTCTCACAGCTCAGTTGACGAAATTAGGGCAACTTACGTCTTGTTAATGCTTCCTCTGTGAAGATATTTATTGGATAAAAAATATTGTAGCATAATCAAGGCTCAAGAAATTAGATTTTAACTTAGTAGTTCCAGAGTAGGGCTTGTTTAATGACAGAATATACAAATGAGGTTGTCTATTTACCTTTGATTATGTTCTTGCCAGTTCTCTGAATCAGAGAGTGTATTTGGACTGCTTGCAGCAAGATCTCCTTGTTCTGATGATGAGGAGTCCTCATTCTCTACATCATATCCAGAGTTTTCACTCTCTGAATCAGAGAGTGTATTTGGACTGCTTGCAGCAAGATCTCCTTGTTCTGATGATGAGGAGTCCTCATTCTCTACATCATATCCAGAGTTTTCACTCTCTGAATCAGAGAGTGTATTTGGACTGCTTGCAGCAAGATCTCCTTGTTCTGATGATGAGGAGTGCTCATTCTCTACATCATATCCAGAGTTTTCACTCTCTGAATCAGAGAGTGTATTTGGACTGCTTGCAGCAAGATCTCCTTGTTCTGATGATGAGGAGTCCTCATTCTCTACATCATATCCAGAGTTTTCACTCTCTGAATCAGAGAGTGTATTTGGACTGCTTGCAGCAAGATCTCCTTGTTCTGATGATGAGGAGTCCTCATTCTCTGCATCATATCCAGAGTTTTCACTCTCTGAATCAGAGAGTGTATCTGTGCTGCTTGCAGCAAGATTTCCTTGTTCTGATGATGAGGAGTCCTCATTCTCTACATGACATTTAGAGTTTTCACTAACTACTTCCGAGAGAGGTTTTGTCCTCCCTGCATCATCAAGGCATTGAAGGTTTGGGCTTTCTTGGTTGCGTTTAGGTTTTTGGTCTTTGCATTCTGCATCAGATGGGAAATGCTGATTATTTTGGCCTCTTTGTGAGGTATCCATTGTTGACTGACTTTTGGATGATTCTTCCTCCTCAATCTGTTTAGAGTTGGAGTAACCTGGTGAGGATATTTCATTATCATGAAGTGAATTCAGGTTGCTGTCTTTGTTCAATGACACCTCAGGGCTTGCTGTCTCTGCCACTGCTTCTTTTCCTGCCTGGGTTTCTGTGTCATCTGATCCTCCAGGGTTTGTTAGAAATCCTCCAGAGGCTACAATCTGGGTTACGCTTCTTTGGGTGCCCTGTGGGGTAGTTGAGCCTGACATGCTTGTTGCCAAGAGCCCTTTGTGAGATGTTTGGTCAGACTGACCACTTTGGATGAAGATTGTCTCATCCATTCTGAAAGCAGATGACATTCTGTGTAAGATTTAGGTCTTCCTGATAATTTATTAATGATGTTGTTTATGTATATGGTATAGAAACTCATTGGGGATTCTAGGGCAGAATGTGTTCCCAGTGCCCCATGTTTGTTGTAAGATCCAACTAGGATCCACTGGTAACATCATTGCACCTGGATGAATGTGTGCCATTAGGCTCGGACAACATGCCTGGCCCACACTATACAGCAACATAACACATCATTCACTTGTTTGGATTCTGGATAAGAATTCAGAGGTACCCAGCAACATATGCTTTTAGTTAGAAGTGTCTAAATGAATTGAGTACTAAACTTGGTGACTTGCTATTGTCAATCACTGCTTAATGCTGTTGAGCAAGTAGCCACTTATTACATTTAAATGTATTAAAGGCAATTTAAAAATATATGAACCAACAAAAAATTGATAGCTAAAATATTCATGTTCAAGTCTCACAGCTCAGTTGACGAAATTAGGGCAACTTACGTCTTGTTAATGCTTCCTCTGTGAAGATATTTATTGGATAAAAAATATTGTAGCATAATCAAGGCTCAAGAAATTAGATTTTAACTTAGTAGTTCCAGAGTAGGGCTTGTTTAATGACAGAATATACAAATGAGGTTGTCTATTTACCTTTGATTTTGTTCTTGCCAGTTTTCCTTGACTTGATCAATACACTTGACTTGTGCTGGTATCTGTCTACTGTCTAGCACAATTTATTTCTTCTATTTATGGATTAGACCAACTGGAGCCAAAGTTCACAACCTAAAAAAGAAATAATGATCGCTTGTGTGAGTTTTACATGCCTGTCCAATCAATCTTTGAAATATAAAATATGCAACTAAGAATATCAAACAAAAGGTATTTTTACAAGGTAGCTTTTTAGCAAATAATTGTTCAAATGTATTGTAAATTTAGCCTCTGGTCACCACAAATACCCAATACAAGAACACAACCTAGTCTGGTCACCACAAATACCTTTATACAAGAACACAACCAACTCTGGCCACCACAAATGCCTAAGACAAGAACACAGCCTAGTCTGGCCACCACAAATACCCAATACAAGAACACAACCTAGTCTGGTCACCACAAATACCTTTATACAAGAACACAACCAACTCTGGCCACCACAAATACCCAATACAAGAACACAGCCTAGTCTGGCTGCCACAAATACCCGATACAAGAACACAGCCTAGTCTGGTCACCACAAATACCCAATACAAGAACACAACCTAGTCTGGTCACCACAAATACCTTTATACAAGAACACAACCAACTCTGGCCACCACAAATACCCAATACAAGAACACAGCCTAGTCTGGCCACCACAAATACCCAATTCAAGAACACAGCCTAGTCTGGCCACCACAAATACCCAATACAAGAACACAGCCTAGTCTGGCCACCACAAATACCCAATACAAGAACACAGCCTAGTCTGGCCACCACAAATACCCAATACAAGAACACAGCCTAGTCTGGCCACCACAAATACCCAATACAAGAACACTGCCTACTGTGGACATCACAAATACCCAATACAAGAACACAGCCTAGTCTGGCCACCACAAATACACAATACAAGAACACAGCCTACTCTGGCCACTACAAATACACAATACAAGAACACAGCCTAGTCTGGCCACCACAAATACCCAATACAAGAACACTGCCTACTGTGGACATCACAAATACCAAATACAAGAACACAACCTACTCTGGTCACCACAAATACCCAATACAAGAACACAGCCTAGTCTGGCCACCACAAATACCCAATACAAGAACACTGCCTACTGTGGACATCACAAATACCAAATACACAGCCGAGTCTGGCCACCACAAATACCCAATACAAGAACACTGCCTACTGTGGACATCACAAATACCCAATACAAGAACACAGCCTAGTCTGGCCACCACAAATACCCAATACAAGAACACTGCCTACTGTGGACATCACAAATACCCAATACAAGAACACAGCCGAGTCTGGCCACCACAAATACCCAATACAAGAACACAGCCTAGTCTGGCCACCACAAATACCCGATACAAGAACACAGCCTAGTCTGGCCACCACAAATACCCAATACAAGAACACAGCCTAGTCTGGCCACCACAAATACCCAATACAAGAATACAGCCTACTCTGGTCACCACAAATACCCAATACAAGAATACAGCCTACTGTGGACATCACAAATACCAAATACAAGAACACAACCTACTCTGGTCACCACAAATACCCAATACAAGAATACAGCCTACTCTGGTCACCACAAATACCCAATACAAGAATACAGCCTACTCTGGTCACCACAAATACCCAATACAAGAATACAGCCTACTCTAGTCACCACAAATACCCAATACAAGAACACAACCTACTCTGGTCACCACTAATACCAAATAGTAGAACTCATACTAGTCTGGCCACCACAAATACCCAATACAAGAACACAGCCTACTCTGGCCACCACAAATACCCAATACAAGAACACAACCTGAATTAAGTTCTAAACTTGGTGACTTGCTATTGTCAATCACTGCTTAATGCCGTTGAGCAAGTAGCAACTTATTACATTTAAATGTATTAAAGGCAATTTAAAAATATATGAACCAACAAAAAATTGATAGCTAAAATATTCATGTTCAAGTCTCACAGCTCAGTTGACGAAATTAGGGCAACTTACGTCTTGTTAATGCTTCCTCTGTGAAGATATTTATTGGATAAAAAATATTGTAGCATAATCAAGGCTCAAGAAATTAGATTTTAACTTAGTAGTTCCAGAGCAGAGCTTGTTTAATGACAGAATATACAAATGAGGTTGTCTATTTACCTTTGATTATGTTCTTGCCAGTTTTCCTTGACTTGATAAATACACTTGACTTGTGCTGGTATCCGTCTACTGTCTAGCACAATTTATTTCTTCTATTTATGGATTAGACCAACTGGAGCCAAAGTTCACAACCTAAAAAAGAAATAATGATCGCTTGTGTGAGTTTTACATGCCTGTCCAATCAATCTTTGAAATATAAAATATGCAACTAAGAATATCAAACAAAAGGTATTTTTACAAGGTAGCTTTTTAGCAAATAATTGTTCAAATGTATTGTAAATTTAGCCTCTGGTCACCACAAATACCCTATACAAGAACACAACCTAGTCTGGTCACCACAAATACCTTTATACAAGAACACAACCAACTCTGGCCACCACAAATGCCTAAGACAAGAACACAGCCTAGTCTGGCCACCACAAATACCCAATACATGAACACAACCAACTCTGGTCACCACAAATACCCAATACAAGAACACAGCCTAGTCTGGCTGCCACAAATACCCAATACAAGAACACAGCCTTGTCTGGCCACCACAAATACCTAAGCCAAGAACACAGCCTTCTCTGGCCTCCGCAAATACCCAATACAAGAACACAACCAACTCTGGCCACCACAAATGCCTAAGACAAGAACACAGCCTAGTCTGGCCACCACACGTTATACTAAGACAAGAACACAGCCTAGTCTGGCCACCACACGTTATACTAAGACAAGAACACAGCCTAGTCTGGTCACCACAAATACCCAATACGAGAACACAGCCTAGTCTGGTCACCACAAATACCCAATACGAGAACACAGCCTAGTCTCGTCACCACAAATACCTAAGACAAGAACACAACCTAGTCTGGTCACCACAAATACCTAAGACAATAACACAGCCTAGTCTGGTCACCACAAATACCCAATACAAGAACACAGCCTAGTCTGGCTACCACAAATACCCAATACAAGAACACAGCCTCGTCTGGCCACCACAAATACCCAATACAAGAACACAGCCTAGTCTGGCCACCACAAATACCCAATACAAGAACACAGCCTAGTCTGATCACCACAAATACCCGATACAAGAACACAGCCTAGTCTGGTCACCACAAATACCCAATACAAGAACACAGCCTAGTCTGGTCACCACAAATACCCAATACAAGAACACAGCCTAGTCTGATCACCACAAATACCCGATACAAGAACACAGCCTAGTCTGGTCACCACAAATACCCAATACAAGAACACAGCCTAGTCTGGCCACCACAAATACCCAATACAAGAACACAGCCTAGTCTGGCCACCACAAATACCCAATACAAGAATACAGCCTAGTCTGGCCACCACAAATACCCAATACAAGAACACAGCCTAGTCTGGCCGCCACAAATACCTATGACAAGAACACAGCCTAGTCTGGCCACCACAAATACCTAAGACAAGAACACAGGCTAGTCTGGCTGCCACAAATACCTAAGACAAGAACACAGCCTAGTCTGGCCACCACAAATACCCAATACAAGAACACAGGCTAGTCTGGCCACCACAAATACCCAATACAAGAACACAGCCTACTGTGGACATCACAAATACCCAATACAAGAACACAGCCTAGTCTGGTCACCACAAATACCTAATACAAGAACACTGCCTACTGTGGACATCACAAATACCCGATACAAGAACACAGCCTAGTCTGGCCACTACAAATACACAATACAAGAACACAACCTAGTCTGGCCACCACAAATACCTAATACAAGAACACTGCCTACTGTGGACATCACAAATACCCGATACAAGAACACAGCCTAGTCTGGCCACTACAAATACACAATACAAGAACACAGCCTAGTCTGGCCACCACAAATACCCAATACAAGAACACTGCCTACTGTGGACATCACAAATACCAAATACAAGAACACAGCCTAGTCTGGCCACCACAAAAAACCCAATACAAGAACACTGCCTACTGTGGACATCACAAATACCAAATACAAGAACACAGCCTAGTCTGGTCGCCACAAATACCCAATACAAGAACACAACCTTGTCTGGCCACCACAAATACCTAAGTCAAGAACACAGCCTTCTCTGGCCTCCACAAATACCCAATACAAGAACACAACCAACTCTGGCCACCACAAATGCCTAAGACAAGAACACAGCCTAGTCTGGCCACCACAAATACCCAATACGAGAACACAGCCTAGTCTCGTCACCACAAATACCTAAGACAAGAACACAACCTAGTCTGGTCACCACAAATACCTAAGACAAGAACACAGCCTAGTCTGGTCACCACAAATACCCAATACAAGAATGCAGCCTACTCTGGTGACCACAAACCAATACAAGAACACAGCCTGGCCTGGCCGCCACAAATACCCAATACAAAAACACAGCCTAGTCTGGTCACCACAAATACCCAATACAAGAACGCAGCCTACTCTGGTGACCACAAACACTCTAAGACAAGAACACAGCCTAGTCTGGTCACCACAAATACCCAATACAAGAACGCAGCCTACTCTGGTGACCACAAACACTCTAAGACAAGAACACAGCCTAGTCTGGTCACCACAAATACACAATACAAGAACACAGCCTAGTCTGGTCACCACAAATACACAATACAAGAACACAGCCTAGTCTGGTCACCACAAATACACAATACAAGAACACAGCCTAGTCTGGTCACCACAAATACACAATACAAGAACACAGCCTGGCCTGGTCACTACAAATACACAATACAAGAACACAGCCTAGTCTGGCCACCACAAATACCCAATACAAGAACACTGCCTACTGTGGACATCACAAATACCAAATACAAGAACACAACCTACTCTGGTCACCACAAATACCCAATACAAGAACACAGCCTAGTCTGGCCACCACAAATACCAAATACAAGAACACAGCCTACTCTGGCCACCACAAATACCAAATACAAGAACACAACCTACTCTGGTCACCACAAATACCCAATACAAGAACACAGCCTAGTCTGGCCACCACAAATACCCAATACAAGAACACTGCCTACTGTGGACATCACAAATACCAAATACACAGCCGAGTCTGGCCACCACAAATACCCAATACAAGAACACTGCCTACTGTGGACATCACAAATACCCAATACAAGAACACAGCCTAGTCTGGCCACCACAAATACCCAATACAAGAACACTGCCTACTGTGGACATCACAAATACCCAATACAAGAACACAGCCGAGTCTGGCCACCACAAATACCCAATACAAGAACACAGCCTAGTCTGGCCACCACAAATACCCGATACAAGAACACAGCCTAGTCTGGCCACCACAAATACCCAATACAAGAACACAGCCTAGTCTGGCCACCACAAATACCCAATACAAGAATACAGCCTACTCTGGTCACCACAAATACCCAATACAAGAATACAGCCTACTGTGGACATCACAAATACCAAATACAAGAACACAACCTACTCTGGTCACCACAAATACCCAATACAAGAATACAGCCTACTCTGGTCACCACAAATACCCAATACAAGAATACAGCCTACTCTGGTCACCACAAATACCCAATACAAGAATACAGCCTACTCTAGTCACCACAAATACCCAATACAAGAACACAACCTACTCTGGTCACCACTAATACCAAATAGTAGAACTCATACTAGTCTGGCCACCACAAATACCCAATACAAGAACACAGCCTACTCTGGCCACCACAAATACCCAATACAAGAACACAACCTGAATTAAGTTCTAAACTTGGTGACTTGCTATTGTCAATCACTGCTTAATGCCGTTGAGCAAGTAGCAACTTATTACATTTAAATGTATTAAAGGCAATTTAAAAATATATGAACCAACAAAAAATTGATAGCTAAAATATTCATGTTCAAGTCTCACAGCTCAGTTGACGAAATTAGGGCAACTTACGTCTTGTTAATGCTTCCTCTGTGAAGATATTTATTGGATAAAAAATATTGTAGCATAATCAAGGCTCAAGAAATTAGATTTTAACTTAGTAGTTCCAGAGCAGAGCTTGTTTAATGACAGAATATACAAATGAGGTTGTCTATTTACCTTTGATTATGTTCTTGCCAGTTTTCCTTGACTTGATAAATACACTTGACTTGTGCTGGTATCCGTCTACTGTCTAGCACAATTTATTTCTTCTATTTATGGATTAGACCAACTGGAGCCAAAGTTCACAACCTAAAAAAGAAATAATGATCGCTTGTGTGAGTTTTACATGCCTGTCCAATCAATCTTTGAAATATAAAATATGCAACTAAGAATATCAAACAAAAGGTATTTTTACAAGGTAGCTTTTTAGCAAATAATTGTTCAAATGTATTGTAAATTTAGCCTCTGGTCACCACAAATACCCTATACAAGAACACAACCTAGTCTGGTCACCACAAATACCTTTATACAAGAACACAACCAACTCTGGCCACCACAAATGCCTAAGACAAGAACACAGCCTAGTCTGGCCACCACAAATACCCAATACATGAACACAACCAACTCTGGTCACCACAAATACCCAATACAAGAACACAGCCTAGTCTGGCTGCCACAAATACCCAATACAAGAACACAGCCTTGTCTGGCCACCACAAATACCTAAGCCAAGAACACAGCCTTCTCTGGCCTCCGCAAATACCCAATACAAGAACACAACCAACTCTGGCCACCACAAATGCCTAAGACAAGAACACAGCCTAGTCTGGCCACCACACGTTATACTAAGACAAGAACACAGCCTAGTCTGGCCACCACACGTTATACTAAGACAAGAACACAGCCTAGTCTGGTCACCACAAATACCCAATACGAGAACACAGCCTAGTCTGGTCACCACAAATACCCAATACGAGAACACAGCCTAGTCTCGTCACCACAAATACCTAAGACAAGAACACAACCTAGTCTGGTCACCACAAATACCTAAGACAATAACACAGCCTAGTCTGGTCACCACAAATACCCAATACAAGAACACAGCCTAGTCTGGCTACCACAAATACCCAATACAAGAACACAGCCTCGTCTGGCCACCACAAATACCCAATACAAGAACACAGCCTAGTCTGGCCACCACAAATACCCAATACAAGAACACAGCCTAGTCTGATCACCACAAATACCCGATACAAGAACACAGCCTAGTCTGGTCACCACAAATACCCAATACAAGAACACAGCCTAGTCTGGTCACCACAAATACCCAATACAAGAACACAGCCTAGTCTGATCACCACAAATACCCGATACAAGAACACAGCCTAGTCTGGTCACCACAAATACCCAATACAAGAACACAGCCTAGTCTGGCCACCACAAATACCCAATACAAGAACACAGCCTAGTCTGGCCACCACAAATACCCAATACAAGAATACAGCCTAGTCTGGCCACCACAAATACCCAATACAAGAACACAGCCTAGTCTGGCCGCCACAAATACCTATGACAAGAACACAGCCTAGTCTGGCCACCACAAATACCTAAGACAAGAACACAGGCTAGTCTGGCTGCCACAAATACCTAAGACAAGAACACAGCCTAGTCTGGCCACCACAAATACCCAATACAAGAACACAGGCTAGTCTGGCCACCACAAATACCCAATACAAGAACACAGCCTACTGTGGACATCACAAATACCCAATACAAGAACACAGCCTAGTCTGGTCACCACAAATACCTAATACAAGAACACTGCCTACTGTGGACATCACAAATACCCGATACAAGAACACAGCCTAGTCTGGCCACTACAAATACACAATACAAGAACACAACCTAGTCTGGCCACCACAAATACCTAATACAAGAACACTGCCTACTGTGGACATCACAAATACCCGATACAAGAACACAGCCTAGTCTGGCCACTACAAATACACAATACAAGAACACAGCCTAGTCTGGCCACCACAAATACCCAATACAAGAACACTGCCTACTGTGGACATCACAAATACCAAATACAAGAACACAGCCTAGTCTGGCCACCACAAAAAACCCAATACAAGAACACTGCCTACTGTGGACATCACAAATACCAAATACAAGAACACAGCCTAGTCTGGTCGCCACAAATACCCAATACAAGAACACAACCTTGTCTGGCCACCACAAATACCTAAGTCAAGAACACAGCCTTCTCTGGCCTCCACAAATACCCAATACAAGAACACAACCAACTCTGGCCACCACAAATGCCTAAGACAAGAACACAGCCTAGTCTGGCCACCACAAATACCCAATACGAGAACACAGCCTAGTCTCGTCACCACAAATACCTAAGACAAGAACACAACCTAGTCTGGTCACCACAAATACCTAAGACAAGAACACAGCCTAGTCTGGTCACCACAAATACCCAATACAAGAATGCAGCCTACTCTGGTGACCACAAACCAATACAAGAACACAGCCTGGCCTGGCCGCCACAAATACCCAATACAAAAACACAGCCTAGTCTGGTCACCACAAATACCCAATACAAGAACGCAGCCTACTCTGGTGACCACAAACACTCTAAGACAAGAACACAGCCTAGTCTGGTCACCACAAATACCCAATACAAGAACGCAGCCTACTCTGGTGACCACAAACACTCTAAGACAAGAACACAGCCTAGTCTGGTCACCACAAATACACAATACAAGAACACAGCCTAGTCTGGTCACCACAAATACACAATACAAGAACACAGCCTAGTCTGGTCACCACAAATACACAATACAAGAACACAGCCTAGTCTGGTCACCACAAATACACAATACAAGAACACAGCCTGGCCTGGTCACTACAAATACACAATACAAGAACACAGCCTAGTCTGGCCACCACAAATACCCAATACAAGAACACTGCCTACTGTGGACATCACAAATACCAAATACAAGAACACAACCTACTCTGGTCACCACAAATACCCAATACAAGAACACAGCCTAGTCTGGCCACCACAAATACCAAATACAAGAACACAGCCTACTCTGGCCACCACAAATACACAATACAAGAACACAGCCTACTGTGGACATCACAAATACCCAATACAAGAACACAGGCTAGTCTGGTCACCACAAATACACAATACAAGAACACAGCCTAGTCTGGCCACCACAAGCACCCAATACAAGAACGCAGCCTAGTCTGGCCGCCACAAATACCTAAGACAAGAACACAGCCTAGTCGGGCCGCCACAAATACCCAATACGAGAACGCAGCCTAGTCGGGCCGCCACAAATACCCAATACAAGAACGCAGCCTAGTCTGGCCACCACAATTACCCAATACAAGAACACAGCCTACTCTGGCCACCACAAATACCCAATACAAGAACACAGCCTAGTCGGGCCGCCACAAATACCTAAGACAAGAACGCAGCCTAGTCTGGTCACCACAAATACCTAAGACAAGAACACAACTTACTATGACTGAAGTAAATGATTACCAGTTACTGCTAACAAATTCTACACTTTAGAGAAGTGGTAGTTATTTTGTCCCACTAAACCAACCCACTGAAACAACTTTATACTGAATGCATGTTTATTGACACTCTTGACTATTGACAAGAGATTGACAGAAATAAAATATTAACATTCTGCATTTAAAAGATAGTAAACAGTATTATTTTCCAATAAGCCAATGTACCAAAACAAATTCATAAAACATATTATCTGCATTTATGGTTACATATTATAATTTTTACCTAAATATTCGTCAGCAAAACGATGTAAACAATTAGGTTAAAAAGGGGGGCCTAACAAAGAATGCTTTCCAAATCAGACTTAAATTTATTTTTTAAGTGATAACAAGTGTTATAATGACAGATTCCACTGTTACCTGATGCATTCCAGTCATTTCCTGACAATACCGGTACTCAAGAGTTACACTAAATATGTACATATGTAAGGTAATCTGACCCAGTTATTTTATGGCCGTGCAGATGTAACGGTGGTTAAATGCCTTGAAATGTTAGCGTTTCCATATTAATTTTAACACATCAATAAATATGAAAATTGACATTACATTCGACACACAATACTCACAAAGAAGCAGCCATTGATGTACAGAAATGACTTTGAGGTGAGCTGTGCAGGAAGTGATTTATGTTACTACTAGCCTCGATCTAAAGTTGTGTATTCATGTGAATCTATGTTTGCACGTAAAATGAAATTCTATTCAAGGAGACTATATCAACTTACAACAGGCACTGTCAGTTCAAGTTGTGTTCTGCTTGACCTCCACCACACAAATACAAATTACAAATGTCGCACACAACTGCAAAGAGCAATGGCTTCTACCGTACATCCGGTAGATATCACGTGTTTAAGGTTAAAAACTTGGATCAGAAATTATACGAATAAAGATCATGCATATAATTAGCAGGCACAATAGTGTGTCCCACTGTCATCAAGGATTGCTAGAATATCCTCTTGATCTTATACATGATATCCTATTGAACTCCTTATCAATATGTCAAGTTTGCCTGGGTGTGCTCCAGTGCTGCACGCACATTCCTATGAGGCCACCTACACAACCATGTAATCGATTTTTCGAAAGGACTTCATCTTATTTATTAAAATGACAAACATGAGATTATTAGACAAATGCTTGCAGCTGTTAAATTGATTTAAGTAATACTTGGAGAGTCATCTATGAAATATTTATGCAATTCATGTACACACACACAAACACTAACATAAAAACACACACACACACACACACAAACACACTAACACACTAATTTTCCTAAATTTGCCCTAAAGTGGAAGACAGTGGGAAGTTTTTATTTGCTTCCAATAAGTTATTTTGGGGACTTATTTTTAGCAAATTCTTTTGAATTCTTGTACATATTTTCATCTACTTTGGGTTACCTTTTACGAGATACATATAAACAAGTCCATCATGCATAGCTGACTTTTGTGTTCTGTCTTGAACATACAAACAAATGACTTTAGCGATCAAATATTTGAAAATCTTGTACAGTTCAACCAACTGGAGCGAAAAAGTCAGAATCAAAACATAAACTTTATTTTCATCCAAATATATATTTTGTGCTTGAACCATGTTTCCAGCTTCTGAAACAAAACACTTCATCCGAACACACCCCAGTGTCCATCTGGTTACTGACTGATAACTGGGTGAAATACATCCTCGTGCACAGTTACCTTACATGACCTGTGTTTCTCTTCCAACTCATTCTCTTTAATAGAGCTATCAGGCTAGGGGAACTGAGGTGTGGGGATGGTCATGTAGGCATATTGCATGTGAGCTTGGATAGGTATATAAATATACAATTTTTTAAAATATTTTCAAATTTTAAACTTATCCTTTTTCACACTATGCATTTTATCATAAGGGAGTGGATTTAGTTTCCGGAGCACAACTAATAAAATGTTCAGTATTCTTTCAACCAAACTTGGCAGATATATCAAACAGGTCCTGAAGTGGTGCCTTTTGCTATTTGGGGATTTTGGTCATTTTCGCTTTTCGCTATTTCCATGGAAACAATTTGGACTTAGTCTCAAAAGGGAGGTGGGCAGGTGCCGTTTCCAGAGCACAACTTGAAAACTGTGACTTTTCATCCTAAAACAAAAGTTTAATCAAGGGCTGAAGTGGTGGTATAATTTATATTTTTTACGTTTCCATGGCAACAAGTTTGACTTTGACTCTGTTCATAGGGGTGTGTACCTAATATAGAAATACGAATTTCCAATTCCTAATTGACCTAGTTACTGGTCAGTAAAAGGGTGTGATGTTGGGGTGTGTTCAGGTGAAGTGTTTTGTTTTAGAAGCTGAAAACATGGTTCAAGCACATTTCCACATAGGATCGAAGAAGAAAGAAGAAATTAATAGTGTGAGATAGGATAAGTTTAAAATTTTCGTAACATCCTCTAGTTTTAACAAGTTTATCATTTATTTTTCCCATTAAAACAACAGACCCAAACAATTTTATTCCAAATAAATTTTTACAAACATTTAGCAGCACATATATAATTGATTTCTATGTACCCAATCTACAGAATCTGCAGACATTGAAATAAGAACAGTGTGGCTCACAAAGACTACCTGTACAAGTTGGACTTTAACTTTCAGTCATCACCAGTCTAATTATTACAGACTTGTTATGCATCTGATGCATTCCACTCATTTTCTGTCAACAAACATTCACGACAGAGTGAGGTGAACTGAACCAGTTATGTAGTGAGCATGCAGATTTAGATTCAGAGTCAAGTGATATCAAGATAACATGGTTAGTTGTTTTAGTGTATCGCCTTAGCTGACATTATGTCATCTTGACCTGAGTGGTGTGGGTTGTTGCTCATGCTGTGACCACCTAGTATGCCTGTCCCACCATGATACAGGAGAAATATTGATAACTGCGGCGTAAAACAACATTCACGGTTCATGTCACATGATCATGTAGTCATGTGGAGGCTTTGTCAGATCTTGACTTTTTTTTTAGCCTTTAGCTTAAAAAGAAGTATAAAAGTAGTATAATGTATTCATGTACATACAAAAACTAATCAAATTTATTTTGTACTAAAGTTAAAAGTCATGACATTTTTTGTGTGCTTACACTTACTTACATAATTACATTTCATTTTCAGAACTCACTCGCTTAGGCAGAGTTGTATTCATTCATTCATTCATTCATTCATTCATTCATTCATTCATTCATTCACTCACTCATTCATATGAAAGTCATTCATTTATTCATATGAAAGTCATTCATTCATTCATTCATATGAAAGTCATTCATTCATTCGTATGAAAGTCATTCATTCATTTATTCATTCATATGAAAGTCATTCATTCATTCACTCACTCATTCATTCATTTATTCATTCATTCATTCATAAACACTTACATTTCATTTTTAGAACTCACTCTCACTTAGGCAGAGTTGTTATCAGTCATTCATTCATTCATTCATATAAAAAGCATTCATTCAATCATATGAAAGTCATTCATTCATTCGTATGAAAGTCATTCATTCGTTCATTCATATGAAAGTCATTCATTCATTCATATGAAAGTCATTCATTCATTCATTCCTAGGAGGCACGGGTGGCCCAGTCGTCTAAGGCGCCGTGATTCGCTGTGCAGAGTTGCGTCCCTTGGGCACGCCAGAAACCTATGATTGTGGGTTCGAATCCCGGTTCGCCCCGATAATGTTTCTAGGTTTGTCAGCACCATACCCGTGCTCGTGGGTTTCACCGAAGTGGTTAACGTCTGAGACCTGCATCACTTCGGGCTTTCCTCCCACATTAAGCTGACACACCTCGATATGACTGGAATACTGTTAAAAGCGGCGTTAAACCCAACTCACTCACTCACTCATTCATTCCTATGAAAGTCATTCATTCATTCATATAAAAGCCATTCATTCATTCATGCATTCATTCATTCATATGAAAGTCATTCATTCATTCATATGAAAGTCTTTCATTTCATTCATTCTTTCATATGAAAGTTATTCTGCCATGGAGTTAAAACTGCAGCTGGCTTCTTGAATCACTGATATTGACGTAGACATGCAATTTATATGTAACAATTTTTATTGTATAAGAGGTCTATATTACTGCTGGGAGACATAATAAAAATAAATATTTGTTTATTTATTTCTTGGGCCAACTGCTTTTCAGGAGGGGTGGCAGGCCCATGAAACAAAACAAAAATATAAAATGTGTGACTTGATAAACAAAACTTTAAAGTCGGTCAAAAAGTAAAGTAACCCTTTGATTTGTAACATACTTGACTAAGAAATCCTTATCATAAATACTTTAAGAACTTGTTTTTGACATATTATCTCTATTTTGGGCCACCCACCCTATGACCTATAACCCAAATTATAAAGATGGTCTTATGTCCAGTGACTGTTAATTACAATTGCAGTATTTAATGTTATATTTCAGGTTCTGTGCTATGGCCTGGGTCTGCCTCTCAATGAACATGACACCATCAATGACTGTGTGAAGGTGTATTGTGAGTGGCTCACTGCACTGATTGTACCCCGACCCTGCGTGCCACGCCCCATCGTTGATGACCCCAACCCCTACGCACAGGACATGCTACATCATCTACTGAATCTCTTCAAGCCACGGCCAGCAGCTGGTAGGTTACTGATGATGGCTTGGAGATAGGGTTTTCCAAGCGTTACCTACTTTCAGAATAGTGAAGGGATGGGGGTTCTCCAGGGTTAGATCTTGTCGTTCATGCCTTGCGGGTGGATAGTTTTGTTATCGATGATCCATTTTAGTTCAATGGATCGGCATTTGGCCGTGCTCTGATCTGACTCCGGGTTCGTTTTCAGCTGTTGTATGATTTGGTAATGGAGGTCTCTAGTAGAGTGTCCCACTGAATTGAAATGTTTAGGGGGCGGTCGGGTAGCCTAGTGGTAAAAGCGTTCGCTCGTCACGCCAAAGACCCGGGTTCGATTCCCGACATGGGTACAATGTGTGAAGCCAATTTCTGGTGTCCCCCGCCATGATATTGCAGGAATATTGCTAAAAGCGGCGTAAAACCATACTCACCCACTCACTCATTGAAATGTTTAGCGACGGGTTTGTCCTTTTGGTGGTTGATGTCGGCAAAGTGCAGAGGTGACGTTTTGTTTCTCCTTCATATTGTTTCACACATTTGGAGCTGTTTAGTAAATAGATTTATGTTTCTACCTTTGCAGTTAAAGTGAGATTGGCGTTTGTATTTTTTGCCTGTCGTGTGGTTGCTGAATGTGTTTACTGACTTTAATTTCATGCAGATTTTACATGATTGTTTGTGACAGTTGTCATCCTGGATGATGACAGTTCATGTTGATATCTCCTAGTGTGTGGTTCTTTCTATATGCTGTGATGTGTGGGACTCGGAACGTGTCAGTGCAGGTATCTGACCCTTTAAGAAAGTGCCAGGAGTTTTGAATCATGGAGCTGACCTTGAGTGTGGTGGGATTGTAATCTGTGATGAAGATCACTGGTTTTAGTGTCCGGTGAGAGCGAGGCAGCATGAAACTAGTCACTGACAACAGAGATCACTCTTGGGTTTTGGCCCCACACCTTATCTTATCTGCTTTCAGAATAGCCAACCCAACATTTCACTTCTCTAGGGATTGTGGGTCAGAATAGCTCCAAATGTAGGGATACAAAGTACCCTGGAACATTTACTGACCAGAATAGTGATAACATATAAGGAGATCACTCAAAAAACCTGAGATTCTACTGACCCTCGGGATAGCAGTAACATACGACACACTGACACTAGCAAACACTTAGCCAGGCAGTGTGCATCAGGTGGTCGCAAGTCAACAGAGGCAGTTTTTACCAGATGTGAAATATTGCATCCAATACTCCCAAAAATTAGAGTAGATATAATTAGTTTGCATTGTGGGTCCTATGGGATGCAAAGCTGTAATCAAGGCCTGTTTAATTAAAGCCATGCAAAAAAGCATGCATGTTAGATTTTCTGTCCAGCATAAGGCCTCACAAATGCTTAATATTTCATTTGTCGGTACAGTAGTCACCTTGAGACACCCATTTTGATGTTCTTTGTTTATAAATGAAAGTAAAACAATTGATCTCCTTTTGGGCCTGTCTGAATAGACTCACAATACCAATAATGGGATTGTTGCTTACACTATCAGCCACTGTCTTTTTGGTTCACGCTCATCTCTTCCAGGTTTCCATGGCTGTAATTAAGAATATTTCCGAATCCACCAAATGTTAACACTCATTTTCAGATCCCATACATAGAAATCTGTGTTGGAATACAAATCTACCACGAAGCTGTTTTGGAATGGTATGCTTGTAATAAATGCACTGCTGGTCAAAAGAGGAACCAAGAAGCCTATGCTTGAGCTGACTACAAAGAGGATGGTGTGGTTGCTATGTGACCTGGTGGATGGTGTATCAATATACCCGTCTTCCCGAGGCAAGAGAGTTAACTGACTGTTATAAAAGCCCAGTTTCCACCCTTGCCGAACTAGGCTGGTATTATGGAGTTACATTTTGGCTGGACTAACGAGTCTATGCATAGTCCAATCAAAATCGCGCACCAAAATAGAAATCCGGTACATAAACTGTCGTGCGGATTTCGATCGATTGCAGGATTTGCAAAACATGTGCATCGCCAACTCTTTGTCAACAGATAATTTCCAAATCATTTCATGTTTTTAATCAAGGTGCTCACATGATTTGATCCATTTCGAGATGTAAGATCCGTTTTATCACAATATAGATCTTGATTATCGATCAGATCTTCCTGACTGGGCGCCATCATTTTGTGTGAAGCAAACGCAAGTGATACGAGAGGTGGAATCTTGATTGGTCCATAGGAGAGGCTTAGAAGGGACATAACTGGTAATAGCCACTGGTGGCGCTACAATCGACCCCAGTAATTCCAGCCTAGTTCGGCAAGGGTGGAAACTGGACTTCTAAAGTCAGTTAACTCTCTTGCCTCGGGAAGATGCAATATAACCTGACAGAGGGGATCGTTCATCTTTCTATCAACCAGGGGCTTGTCAATTATTTCCAGGCCACTGTGATATATTTGCTTTACACAATCACACATGCACACACTCACTCACACATTATTTCATTCACTCCAATGACTGCTCCTCAGGTGTTGACTTAGTCAAGAGACAGGCCCTGCTGTGTCACCGGGTGCTCCGGGCAATCGAGGGCGTGGCCAAGGAGTCCAACATCCTGACCCGTGCCACCTGGGAGGCCTTGCTGAAGTTCCTGCTGGCCGCCAATGACAGCCTGTTGTCTCCTCCCACAGAGAAAGGTAGGGCAGCCCTTGACACACTGCAAGCATACTGTCTCTACAGCAGTGTGTGTTGTACACTGTAACCATGGTAACATAAGGTTATGTCAGTAGTAACTTCAGTCAAATACCAACTTAAGGTTATATCAGCAGTAACATCAGTTATATACCAACTTAAGGTTATGTCAGTAGTAACATCAGTTATATACCAACTTAAAGTTATCTCAAAAGTTCTAGTATCTGTAATGTTCAGATTTTGACATTTTGGCAGCCATAGTCCTGAAAACCTTGCAGAAGTTAAATCAATATCAGACATTGTCAGTCTTACGTTTTCTGACTTAAATAATTTTCATTAATTTAATAATTCTGTCCATCATATAATAAGCTGGAAACTTCTGAAAATAAGCCTTCGATGACTGTTGAAGTTACAAGACAATATGGAACAGTTTGCTTGATTTGTCAGTTGATTGAAGCTGAAAGTATCAGCCATTTTTAGGCAAGTCTCCTGGCATCATCCGTACATCACGAGTTATACACTATGTTCTTCCATCACCCTTCAATGCATACGGTTGTTAAGGGGGTTAACATCACACACATCTGTGGGTCGTCAGCCAATGAAATGAGAGCTTTGTTGAGTTCATAGAAGTCAAATGAACCCCACTCCATGCATGAAGTTTGTGAGATCCCTACCATGGCCTAACAATGAAGCAGTGTGTATGGTAGAGTCCCCAAAGCTGGGGCACAAGGTACAGAGAAATAGTGTGCTCAGTTGTCTGAGCAGTCCCGGTTTCCCTCTCACTGGCGTGATTCGCTGGTTACTAATAGCAACTGCACCGCGCAGTGACTGTATGTACTACAGGTGATGGAAGAACGTACATAAACCAGTGATGTATTGACAATGATCTAATGGTATGTGATACTGAATAATGCTTCACAGAAATATAAATCAGCTATATTGTTCCAAATAAGTCCTGCATACTTAACAAGAACATGATTGAAAAATATTAAATTGAAAAACGTCTGGAATTTGATGGAAGCTCTTTTCTCATGAGAGCAATTCTATACTACCCAAAGTAATAGAGAAATGTTGGTCGTCAAATGATAGGAAAGGAAACTAAATGGAATATAGGGTGTGAAAGTTCTTTGTGAGTGTCTGGTTTGTTGAGAAATCATATTATTATGTCGTAACCGTTATGGCATTTTGTTATTATTTACATTAACAATTTGATTGTGTTGAGTGCCAAAGTTTTTTTCTTCTTTAACCAAAACTTTTTGACTAAACTTTGCATGTGAATGCTTGTGGTGTTTGAAACTGCAATACACATGGACATGAAATACTATTCCGCATGACTTTGTGCTGTTATACTGGCTGATGAAACATAGAGATATCAAGTACTGTAAATCTTGAAATTAACGCGATCGTGAATTAAATGCCACAAATGCGAGTGGTCTTTGTTCGCATAATTAACTTTGCATTTGTCTCCAAAATGACTTTCAACAATGAGACGGCCTCACTGCACACTTTGGATAGCAGAAATACGATCTTGTATGTAAGCACAAATACGGTTTATTGAGCAGCAGCTGTAACAAGTGTATAACCATGTCATTCAAAGAATAGGAATTACACAATGGGCATCCGGTAAGTTATCACTGCTGGGGTCACGAGTTCTGCCCACTTGTGTCAAACTAGGCATCATTGACCACTCCAGCTGTCCATACAGATGCCACTCACGCCACACTTACGGAAGTGCTCTCCTCAGCGCTAATAATCAGTGCTAGCTATTTGCTGTTTAAATGAATTAAGGTAAGGATATGTATAATTCAATCTCATTAAAATCAGATCTAAGTTTAATTGTGTATAATTCCGCTGGGGATGGGGCGGGCGGAGTGGCATTGACATTGAGTCGCATTTTGAGCTAGGGGTCAGCAGTCGTATTAATTTGGAGATGCATTAATTTCAAGATTTATAGTATAAGGTTTTGTTGACAGTAGGACCAGGCCTGTTTTCTTCTTGTTTGATAGATATGTTTTTTATGCCAAGAGTCAGGAGCCATTTTTTGTAAATTGAGTATAATTTTGTTTGGATTAAACTCTTGATAATGATATATGAAACACATCAAACAAACATTAAGTTTTTCAGAATAAGTATGTTTTCAATCTGTGAGAATGTGTTTCTAAAGGTTTAGCTGGTTCAAAACAAGAGCAAAATAATGGTCTGGATAAATTGAATATTCTTATTGATCTGTTTTGTTTGTGATTTCAATCATGGTTTTTATGCCAACATTTCAACCCTCCTTATTTAAAGATTACAGATATTGTAAGAGTGAGTACAACTTCAATGTGATGTGTCATCCTATATTATTCCTAACCTCAAACAAACAGTATGGCTGTTTAACATGTGTATGTATTTTCATCATTTCAAATCAGTTCCTCAGTTCATCCCAGTTGCAGATGCTAATGTGATACAAGCATTAGTTGTGAAGTATATATTTGTGTTATAAGGCTTTCACTCAAACTGAAAATTGAAACTCACTCTCACTCAAACTTTTTTTTCTGCCAAGCATGGCTGAATTTTCAAACATGAACAAGTTTTTTTTTAAAAAACACAATCATTCTTTTCCACTGTTACTGTTGCGTTTGACTAATCTTGGTAACTGCATGGCATTTTGTTTCCTTCGAGCAGACGACACAGGACTTAGTTCATGTAAGTGCAGATCGGTTGGTACAGATCTTCGCCACATCATTTTCATCTTCACCTTACCTCCAAGCTATGTTGTGCTACCAGCTTTCAGTGCACTGTGTATTTGCTGTCCGTTTTCTTTCAATGCTTCTACTTTGCCTAATTTCAAATGCTTGTATTTTCCTAATGACTGCTTCAGACTGAAACATTTTGCATCTTGTCATGGTTGTTGTAGACTTTAGAACTGTAGGAAATTAATTTCTGATGATGTTTAGTTCCTGATTAAAAAATTCTGCTGTTTTTTCTCTGCTTTAAACTAAAGAACAGTTGAAATCTTTAAATATTTCTTCTATGTTGTTTTGCCATTTGTATGTTCAGTAGTACATTGATCATAGTCATGTTAACAGTTCTTATTTAGATCAGAAATGGCAAATAGTTTATGACCTTTGGTCACAAAACCATTGGTCATGGGTTTCACCAAGCGGTAAACATCTAAGACCTGCATCGCTACAGGCTGTCCTCCCACATCAACTTGGTACACCGAATATACATACACTTGATGACTGAAATGCTTGTCATTACAAACATACCATATTTCCTTGGTTGGAGTTCTGTTGGTTCATATATTACTGGCAAATAGATACTATACTACAGTCACTCCATATATACACATGCATGCATTCTCAGGCACATAAGGTGGTGGTATGTTTGGTGGTCTTTCTGAAACAGGGACTGACTGAGGGGCATCAGACATCCACACCACCCCATGCTTGTTGCAATAGTTGGCTGTACTGGGAGAAGACTATGTATGGCTGATGCACTAATGGTTTGGATAGTTGCTCATGCTTTCAACCAGTGGTCTGCTTGGTCTAGTACTGATTGGTTTTGAACCTGTAAAGATCTGGGGTAGAATAGGTCTTCAGCAACCCATGCTTGCCGTAAAAGGCGACTATGCTTGTCGTAAGAGGCAACTAACGGGATCAGTTGGTCAGGCTCACTGACTTGGTACATGTATGTCTTCGCATCCCACTTGCCTGGAACGATGCTCATGATATCAATCACCGGATTGTCTGTTTCAGACTTGATTATTTACTGACCCCTGTCATATAGCTGGAATATTGCTGAGTGCAGCATTAAACAACAAACAAACAAACAAATGATTGTTTTTGTTTCATTCATACTTTCTCAGTGTATGTCATGGGCTAAAGCCTGAAAGAAAGCCTTTCAGGTTCTGCAACATGACTAGGCTGAACATCAAGGGAGCCTAGTTGCTAAAGCTTCATCATGCTCAGTGTTAAAATGCCACAGGCTTGCTGACTTGGTTGATGCATGTCATCGATCCCAACTGCGTGGATCGATGCTCATGATATTAATCACTGGATTGTCTGGTCCAGACTCGATTATTTACAGACAGAGTGCTGAGTGCGGCGTTAAACAACAAATCAAGCAAGCAGGTTAAAATGCCAAACCATTTATTTGGACCTCCCCTGTTTCAAAAATTCTTTGATCAGTTGTGTATCTTGTCATTTGAATCTGTCTTCATGTTTGAAGGTGTCATAAAAAGAGAGTGGTGGGGTAGTTCTGCTTTTAGTGTTGTTCCATCGCTCTGAAGACCAGGTTGGATTCCCAACATGGTGGAATATGTGGAGCTCATTGTTGGCTTCACCCACTGTCATATGTCTGGAACAGTGCACACACACACACCCTCAATATCACATAATAGACCAACTCATATGAAACAGATGACAAGGTCGCATCCAGACAAAAGTCAGGACATTCTGATTTGACACGTGTTTGGTTGCTCGTACACATAACATTACGAATATTGATATTGATGTCCACATTAGAGCTGGGACAAGTCCAAATTTACTACCCAGGTACCTGACCCCCAATTACCCGACCCTACCCGCTGAAGGTCTTCAGTTTAGGTTTGGTCTGAGTTTGGAACAAAATGTCAGATTGGGAATTGTTTTACCGGAGCCCTGGCAAAACTTATTTAGATACACATATAGAACGATCTGGTCATGCATACACTGAAGTTGACTTGTAACTTGTAACCATAGAGTCATTGTGAATTTTTGTCTGTTAGGTTTAAACAGTATATCACATGACTAAACATATGCCTGGGTACTCCTTCGGGTACACAGGTCCTACTCAGTTGTGATGACTAGCATCTGTAAAGTATCATTCTTTGTCTCTTTTTTTTTTAACTCACTAGAGATCGTTATTTACATAAGGAATTAGAAATGAGAAAATCTCTTCCAGTGTTTGGGCCAGGCAAAGTAGAAGTACCGTATTCGCTGTAATAAGTGCCCTGGGTGCTAAGAAAATTGACAAAGGTGGGGCACACTTATTAAAACCATTAACAATAGGTTGTCAGAGACTGAGCAGTAGTGAACTAACACAGTTCAAATATCAATGAAACTAAACCTTTTTTGATTATAGTTACGAGGTAATTATATAGCCCTTCTGTGTTGCAGTCTTCTGAAGAAAACTCTGTAATATGCACAAGAAAATACCTATTGTCATATAAATGTTGGTTATATAAAGGGGCACTTATGAAGATTACGTACATATTGGTCGAGAAGTTGACCAGAGGTGCTTGCTGGATCAGGGTGCTTAATACGGAGAATATGGTAGTTGTGTGTGTGTATGGAATGAAGCATGTCTGGTGACCTTGCAGGGTCCCGTTCCACAAAGCGATCGTAACTACAATCAATCTTAGAGACTTACGTCGATTATAAAATCGTCTTAGCTAAAGTATACGCCCGTTCCACAAAGCGATCTTAGGGCGATTGTAACTTTACAAGTTTTTAAGTAGCCGATCTTAACAAAGATCGGAATCTTCAGCCATGAGGATAAGAAAGTTTCCCTAAGAGTGGCCTCCCTTGGTCATGTTTAGCAGACGACGCATTGTCGAAATATGGCCATCTTTGTTGTTATGGTACAATATTTAAGATTGATTTTAGCGATCCTAAGTTGGTCCGGAGCAACTTAGCATTTTGATCTTAACTTACAACTCTCTCAGTTAAGATTGTTTTGTGGAACGGGCGGCCGATCGTAACCAAAATTTAAGATCGTGTACTTAGTGAGTAACAATCAACTTAGCCCTAAGATCGCTTTGTGGAACGGGGCCCAGGACTCTTGTACACAAAGCCATCGTAGCTACGACTATTGTACAGTATGGGAGTTGCGACAACTGCATGGCTTTGATTATTGTAAGCCTGAGAGTATGGGACTTACAAAAATTGTAGTTATGACGTGTAAGGCTTTGTTTCAATGTTGGAGTTGTGGTAGTTGTCGCACTGCTGCCGTGTAAGTCTTTGACAGAGATTAGCAGTTACAAAAGTTAGAGCACGGCAACATTTCCTGGCTGATAGTCGTAGTGCTGGTGGCAACAACATTTCTCAGCCTTTGTTAAACTATGCGAAAGTTGGTAGTTATGATGGTTTTGTGCATGTTGTCCTATATGTTTTACAATGGTGCTAAGGTATTGATGTAGTTTTATGTGAAAAGCTATTGTCTGTATTCACATGTTATTTTTATTTCATGTTTAAAAACCAATACTTCAAACTTAAAGAATTATACTTGTCTTTTTGTCAAATTTGTTTGGATAAGAAAATATATGTACAATAGTGTTGACGGAGACTGTGTCTAGAGTCAAGTCCCGTTAATCCAACATGGTTGGTTGCATATGATTGCTTCAGTATTTTTACCAAAAATGTACAAACAAATGTTAATCTTTATTTTCAACCAATATGTGATTTTGAAATATTCTGTCACATCAGCATAACCAGTTAACATCATTTGATCAATGGAAATTGGCCATGTTATGGATAATTTTGTCAAATCAAAAGAAATAGTTCAACTGTGTTACATTGTGGTAACCATTGAGCTATTGTAGCTAGCCTAAACTAGTCATGTGATGCAGCATGAACCATGGTTGATCATGTGATCTGACTTGATCATGTGAAAAGTTTTGGTAAACTTTATCCTAGTATGGCATTAATTCAGTTTTCTAACAATTGATTAAAAACTTACACAAGACCTTGTTTGGTGCTCGCATGCTTGTATGGTGATGATTGGGTCATTATCAAAGTAAACTTGGGACTAAGACTTATTTTTGTTTGCAGTGTAGTGAGTTTTCATTGATTTTGTATGTTGTTGCATTGCTGTGCATACAGAGGCATAGAGTAGAACAGTACTCATGTTCAGCTTCTCGTGTTAATGTTTTGCAAACAAGAATTAATGTTTTATCTTTTTCAGCCTTTGTATATAGTTTATATAATAATATTTAAGAAATGAAATAAACACTTGGCATGGGAGAGCTATGGCTGGAGTATTGCTGACTGGGAACACTGACTCACTCATGGATCTCTGAGTGGGAAATACAGGAGTATGTTTTCGTGGCATGTCATACAGCCTACTCCCACTGAGTGGCAGTTGTGAGGGCAGGGTCAGATGCTTCTTCATGGTTGATGCCAGCCTTCCTTGATAAAACAGAGTATTATGTTACCATTCATGTGTGATAAATACCTGGACCATTGCCATCACAGCCTCATTTTGAGCCTGATTTGCATGGCATGACTCTAAAATAGCCATCCTATCGACTTAGTCTCATGAGCCCGAGAAGTTCGGTGCTAAGGGAGATGGTGAGGTCACTTCTGACCACCTCTGTGGTCCTGTGGTAGAGCGCCCCCATGGAGTCTGCCTCCCTGGTCTCGTGGTAGGGTGTTCGCCTGGAGCCCGCCTCTCTGGTCTCATGGTAGGGTGTTCGCCTGGAGTCCGCCTCTCTGGTCTCATGGTAGGGTGTTCGCCTGGAGTCCGCCTCTCTGGTCTCATGGTAGGGTGTTCGCCTGGAGTCCGCCTCTCTGGTCTCATGGTAGGGTGTTCGCCTGGAGTCCGCCTCTCTGGTCTCATGGTAGGGTGTTCGCCTGGAGTCCGCCTCCCTGGTCTCATGGTAGGGTGTTCGCCTGGAGTCCGCCTCCCTGGTCTCATGGTAGGGTGTTCGCCTGGAGTCCGCCTCCCTGGTCTCATGGTAGAGTGCCCCCATGGAGTCTGCCTCTGTGGTCTTGTGGGAGTGCGTCTGCCTGGAGACCCCTCCGTGGTCCTGTGGTAGAGCGTCCCCCTGGAGTCTGCCTCCCTGGTCTCGTGGTAGGGTGTTCGCCTGGAGTCTGCCTCTGTGGTCGTGTGGGAGTGCGTCTGCCTGGAGACCCCTCCGTGGTCCGGTGGTAGAGCGTCTGCCTGGAGACGGCTCCGTGGTCTGGTGGTAGAGCGTCTGCCTGGAGAATGGAAAGTCTGGGGTGTAAGATGTTAAAAGTTGGTACTTGTTGTTACCCTCCCGGCCACTCGGCATTAAGGGGCTAACACAAAAAAAGGTCTGACTACGAGTGAGGTATTTATGTTAAACTACGGCATAGTGTTTCATCAGTGTTCAGGTTTACATACCCACTAACTACTGGTTAGTCATTTCAGTTGTGAAAACATCTAGTTAGTCACTGGATTGTCTGGTTTACTCAATTATTTACAGACGGCAGTCATATAGCTGGAATGTTTCAGAGCAGGTTCAATAGGAAAAGCTAGCTGTAGACACATGTTCGTTGTGGCTATTTTTAGTTGTGAACTTAATTACAACATGTTTTGTGATTTTTGACTGACAAAACCGCTGGGGTCATTAAATGAGCAGTAATGTATTTTAGCAGGTGTATAGTCTTTTATAGATGCAGAATGTTTTTTATCACGTATCTTATCGGCGCATGAAAGCTCACAATCCATCAGGGCACCAATAAATTGTTTCACCTCTAACAACTACATGTTGGTCAGTCTGAGGTCTTTTGACTGGTGCCCATTTCTGGTGTCCCCCGCCGTGATATTGCTGGAATATTGCTAAAAGCGGCGTAAAACCATACTCACTCACTCACTCACTCTTTTGACTGGTCCTCGTATCTACCATGTCTGCCTGTAGTTATCCATTTTCCAAGTTCTGTGGTGTTTTGTTTAGCATTTGCTCATCACCCTGAAGACCCAGGTTTGAATTCCACCGTCAGTACAATGAACAAAGCTCATTCTTGGTGTTCCCTGGGGGGAAGGTTGGCCCAGTCGTCTCAGGCGCCGCGATTCGCTATGCAGGGTTGCCTCCCTTGGGCGCTCCAGAAACCTATGTGGGTTCGAATCACATTTGCCCCGATTATGTTTCTAGGTTTGTCAGCACCATACCCGTGCTCGTGGGTTTCACCGAAGTGGTAAATGTTTGAGACCCCGCATCACTTCGGGCTTTCCTTCCACATTAAGCTGACACGCCATGATATAACTGCAATAATGTTAAAAGTGGCGTTAAACCCAACTCACTCACTCACTTGGCCTCCCCTGCTGACAGATGGCGGAACTGATGGTAAACGTGACATAAAAACCCATCTTGTCCATTAGCTTAGTGGAATCTATTTAATGACTGTTAATTTTTAGATCTTGTATGTATTCCCACTCACACCACCATCACAGAATCACAATACTTCGATTTCACAAAGTCACTGAATGAATTCACTATTGGCCGGCTAGCACACAACATATTAACCAGAATACAAGTATGAATTATTTACTTTGTTTAGTGTTTCATTCTTGAATATATATCAAGTTTAAAATAGCCTTATGATATGACAATGAATATTTCATTTTGTGTAATGTTTCATATATTCTGTTACATTTGCTTACATCACTACTGATTTGATTAAATGTTTATTTGATATTTTTCTGAAAAGGCAGAACTAAACTTTAACATAATGGGAGAGAAGATGTAGAATTATTTCAATATTGTTGGTCCAAGGTTGTATTGGCTGTTCCTCAGTGCACTGACATAACAAGATGTTGTACACCTGCAGATGATATCGGGGATCACCTGTGTGAGAGGGTACTCAGTGTGCTGTTTGGGATCTGGATGCTGGCATGTTCCAAGTGCTTCCCGTCTCCGTCGCTGTGGAAGACATTTCGCAACATGTGCCAGTTCTGGCGCCACCATGAAGCCTTGGTGATACAGTGGCACAAGATCAACCACGCCCTCACCTCCAGGATCATACGGATGATGTATGGCCCTGACTACCCGGAGCTGCTTGTTGGTGAGGCGGTGGTAGAAATGGGACAAACATTTGTTTTCATTCAGAAATGGCTCCGTATGACTTCTGACTCAGAAATAAGTACAAAAGCTCCCTCAGGAATATGATTCCATTCTGTTTGAGGCAGGAGACCAGTGGTAGTTCATCTGCCCGGAGATAAGATGGTCGGGAGTTCGATCCCCAGTTGCGTTGATACCAAAAGACATTAAAAGATTGTACTTGTTGTTATTCTGTCTTGCGCTCGGCATTAAGGGCTAAAACAAGGACTGGTCAGCTCGGAGTCAGTATACTGTGTCTGTGTGGGGTATTCATGTTAAACTGTGGCATGGTATCTCAGTGGGCGAGCACTATAAAATCAGCATTAGTCCTGACTAGTACAAGCATGCGTGTCACTATAGAAGTGCAATAATCTTGGACGTGACGTTAAACCCCATTTCACCAAACCTTGAGGTAGGTTTAGTCAAGCTTTACACTTTGAAAGAGCTTATATAAGAGTATCAGTTTATGATAAATGCTTTATTATGTGGGTGATTTAAATTTGGTGGAGACAAGTTTTGAATTTGGTAGTTCCTGAGGAACCAATTAACTGATGAAATACTTTGGGGAAAGCATTTATTGCCAGGAATTCCAGATTAACAGGGTCTGGATTGGTGATGATTAGAGTGGGTTTCCAGATTAACTGGGTCTGGATTGATGATGATTAGAGAGGGTTTCCAGACTAACAGGGTCTTGACTGGTAATGATTAGAGTGGGTTTCCAGATTAACAGGGTCTGGATTGATGATGATTGGAGTGGGTTTCCAGATTAATAGGGTCTTGACTGATGATGATTAGAGTGGGTTTCCAGATTAACAGGGTCTTGACTGATGATGATTAGAGTGGGTTTCCAGATTAACAGGGTCTTGATTGATGATGATTAGAGAGGGTTTCCAGACTAACAGGGTCTTGACTGATGATTATTAGATAGGGTTTCCAAATTAACAGGGTCTGGATTGATGATGATTAGAGACGGTTTCCAGACTAACAGGGTCTTGACTGATGATGATTAGAGTGGGTTTCCAGATTAACCGGGTCTGGATTGATGATGATTAGAGTGGGTTTCCAGATTAACAGGGTCTTGACTGATGATGATTAGAGTGGGTTTCCAGATTAACAGGGTCTGGATTGATGATGATTGGAGTTGGTTTCAGATTAACAGGGTCTTGACTGATGATGATTAGAGTAGGTTTCCAGATTAACAGGGTCTGGATTAAAGATGATTGGAGTGGGTTTCCAGATTAACAGGGTCTTGACTGATGATGATTAGAGTGAATTTCCAGATTAACAGGGTCTGGATTGATGATGATTAGAGACGGTTTCCAGACTAACAGGGTCTTGACTGATGATCATTAGAGTGGGTTTCCAGATTAACCGGGTCTTGATTGATGATGATTAGAGTGGGTTTCCAGATTAACAGGGTCTTGACTGATGATGATAAGAGTGGGTTTCCAGATTAACAGGGTCCGGATTGATGATGATTAGAGTGGGTTTCCAGATTAACAGGGTCTGGACTGATGATGATTAGAGTGGGTTTCCAGATTAACAGGGTCTTGACTGATGATGATTAGAGTAGGTTTCCAGATTAACAGGGTCTGGATTGATGATGATTGGAGTGGGTTTCCAGATTAACAGGGTCTTGACTGATGATGATTAGAGTGGGTTTCCAGATTAACAGGGTCTAGATTGATGATGATTGGAGTGGGTTTCCAGATTAACAAGATCTTGACTGATGATGATGTTTCAGGCGAGGAGGATAGCCAGGTTATCCCGCCCGACACTAGCAACGAATGCATCACACAGAGCTGGTTCCGCTTCCTGCACATCATCCAGAACCCCGTCGACCTGTGTCGCCCAAACATCATCAGCAACACACAGCGCTTCCTTCAGTATGCTCTGGCCAGTGAGGCAGTCATCGATCCTAGTCATCACGAGTGTCTGCTAAAGCTTCCTATCATCTTCTTCAAGGCAATGAGAGGCATCTCTGTCATGGTCAATGCTTTCTTAGGTAATCTAAATGTGTTCAGTTCTAAATTAAATTTAAGGTATGTAGAGTTAACACAAAATAAACCAATCAGTGTCTGGTGAATAGGCCCCAAGAATGATAAATGGATTATGACATAAAATAGACGATTTCTTGAATGTTTTATACTGACTGATAGAATAAGTGAACAGACATAAAGTGATTGAATGGCGAGCTAGACCAGGCTTTGACCTTGAGTCATTTGGTCTATTGGCCATGCATTAAAGTTACCGAATGATACCTCATACTGGTTTCCCAGCCTTTTAGTATGACTCGGACACTACTAACCATCACTTGTATTTGACCTTGACCTTGACCTTGACCTTGAAGGTGTTCCTCAGTCTGTGAAGGAGGAGAACCTGATGGCGGCTGGACTGATCATCTCCACGGCACTGTCTGCCAGCCCCTCCACACCCCCAGGGCAGCGCAAGACCAACAAGCCCAACCTACCCATGTCTGTCCTGACCGGCACCCTCACCAGCAAAGGTAAACCAAGAACACTCCTACATGAGCCAGGGGCATGGGTGGTCCAGTGGTGTAGGGTGCCAAAATTCACTGTTTAAAGTTGTGTCCCTTTGTAGTCCCAAGATCAGCTGATCACTGATTCAAGTCCCAGTTTGATGATCTTTGGTTTGTCAGTACCAGATAGTGTTTGTTGGTTCCACCGAAGTTGTCAATGTCTACAACTTTCCTTATTTTGGACTTTCCTCCTGAGGTGATACACACGTAGCTGAACTACTGTCTAGATATTCAATGAATTATGGATTTTCTGTCATCAATTAATTAAATAGATCATTCACAAGACTACAGATATACAAGATTCATTTATGAGTGACAGATATATTTTAATACAGTTTTTCAATTTGGATATTCAATAATTAATGTACATTTTCATTAGGAAAAAAATGCAGAATGATTTTCAAAAGTCTTCCCCATTAAGAAACACATATGTTGACACTTTTTATGAAAATAACCAGTTGACCTTTAATGCTCAAACATTTGCCTTAGTAGAATTGCCTGGTGGTTAATGCGTATGCTTATTATATTATCTGGTCCCAACAAGTTTTTGGGGCGGTCCGGTAGCCTAGTGGTTAAAGCGTCCACTCGTCACCTGGAAGACCTGGGTTTGATTCCCGACATGGGTACAATGTCTGAAGCCCATTTCTGGTGTCCCCATCCATGATATTGCTGGAATATTGCTAAAACAGCATAAAACCATACTCACTCACTCACCCAACAAGTGTCAACCATATTTATAGCGTCCCCATAATTGTGTTGCTGGAATAATGCTACATGCAAACTCTGTCACTTCTCCTTTGTCTCTGTCCCCAGGGTCAAGCAAGGGCTCCCAGAATGCAATACCCAAGACGGCCACCCCTCCAGTCAGCAGTAGCATGGGTAGACTCTCCTTGGGGAGTCGCTTTCCGTTTGCTCCAACACGTCCCTCATGTAACAGTGTGCTGCACCTGTTTGGAGCTTGGTTATTTGATGCTTCACTTGCAGGGGTAAAGCTCCATGCAGCGCATGCTACCAAACGTAAGTTCAACTATTTAAACTTTATTAACTGAAAGTGAAATTAAATGATGGAAATTTAGTAATTGTGCACTATGGATTAATGGATAAATGGATAAATGATAATGCTTGCTAATGGAGAGTGCCTCATTATTGAGGTGTTATTTTATCAAGAGTTAGATCATACAAGGCCAAGCAAGTGCTCAATCACTGGATTGCCTGGTCCAGACTTGTTTATTTACAGACAGACGACATATGGCTGGAATATTGCTGAGTGCGGCATTAAACAACAAATAAACTTACAAACAAAGCCAAGCGAGTGCACCATGTTACGTTTTCATGTTTTAGGCATTTGAACTACCTCTGTGTCATAGTGGAACACTGTCTTTGACTGCCACTTCTAGAAAAGTTAATCAATGAAAAGACAGGTTCCCAAAAAATATATCGGTGAAATTGTTTTCCTCAAAACAAGAGCAACTTGAAAGTTTCAAATAGGAACCTACTGATTTGTGTTTATGGTAAGCCATGACTGTGCACAGAAGTGTATCCTCCTCACGTTGAGTAGACATGTATAATACGTAATTCACTTTGAAATACCGCCAGACATTTCTACACAATTTGTGAATCTCAGTCGTGTCCTTTGCAACTTAGATAAAAACCAGCGTCGTACCAGTTCCTTCATCGAGTCGAAGCACAGTTCTACATCAGCTGATCCCTCCGACACATCGCTGACCAGTGACAACACGTACGAAGCAGGCCGCGCGGAGGCTTGCGGTGCCCTCTGTAGGATATTCTGTGCTCACAAAACAAGGGAGGATATCCTGCCCGTCTACTATTCTAGGTTCTATCTCATCATGTACTATGGCCTGCAGACAGAGGAGGTTAGTGGCGGGAGTTTGGTGCAGTAGCTGTCGTAGAATGGGGGATTATATACTGAACAAACAACGTTAGGGGTCATGAAATTTTATTTTAATATTTTATTTGTAGTGAAGACTGAGCACACAATTTCATGCAAAAAAACTATTCATGATCCCTAACTCAGTATATATGATGATTATTGTTATGTGGATATATAAATGACAACAGTGGTTACATGGACAAAGGGAAAAATTCAAACCATAGGATTGATGGCTGAAATAGGAATGAACTGCAAAATATATTCTTTTGAAGTCATGACATAAAACAATGATCAGTAAAGTGATCAGGAACACATGAACAAACTGATCTTGGAGCAGCTTTTGAATGACCATTCAAAGAGTTACTTCCCTTTGAATATTGAAGTTGTTACGTGGTGTTTTTATTACAATTTGTTGATAGGCTCAGTGGCAAGAGAAAAATGCTTTAGGCAGTGCTTGTGACATTGTTGACAAGAAATAATCATGACAATCATGAAGAATCATGTTTATGAGTAATGATAGTGAAAATGACATTGATGATGATAGTGATGATAGTGAACATTCAGGCATGATATCATGCACAAAGTGGTTATTGTGGTGATGATTATGTTGATTATGGCAAGCATTATAGATATATAATGATTGTGATTACTATGATGTGGCAGTATGAATGATAACAGTGAAAATGTTCATGATCATCATGACCATGTCAGCACCTATGATGCTGATTGTGTGAAGTGTAAGGCTACAAAAAATAATAGTCTTGGTTCTCAGGCACACTCCGCATCATCATAATGTTTTCAAAAAAAAATTAAAATCCTAATGCTTAAAAACAATATGATCCAATATAGCATGCAGTCACTTCCCTTTACATGCGCACTGCTTTACTGCGCTTCTCGCGTTATGGTCATGGCTGCAATAGGAGTTTGTATGCTTGTTTATGTAGGGAGGCCCTTTCCCAGATTGATGGTACACAACTGTTTATTTGGTTATGTACTAGTTTGAACAAGGGAAAAAAAATAAAAGACACTGCCCGCACGCACTATATTTTCAAAATCATTGCCTGAGAACCATTTTTTAAATTTTTTTTAGCCTAATAACATGCTGCAGAGTTTTATACTTTTAATAATACGCTGTGTCATTCACCTGATGAATGCATACTAAATCCATACAAACTGTACCAAAGCCATTGAGGAACATCGGTGATACTGACAATATGTATGTGCAGGGTTTGATCAGTGGTCAAGTGTTGTCCAACATCCTGTTCAACTCCTGCGACCTGCTGCGGGTCGACCTGGCAGGGGTACAGATCCTGGTGCCGTACATCCTCAATGCCCTGGAACTGGTCCTGACAAAGACACAGCCAGACTTCAAGTAAGTGGGGTACTTCACGTGTAACCTTTCTTAGCCTGTGACAGATTAGTGTCCCTTCCTCCACTTTTACAGCACATTCTTCCATATCATTGCCAAATTTTAAGAAAAAGTCTTCAGGACATTTTGGATGATAATGAGTCAATGTCAATGAACCAATCTGAAACACTGACTGGTCATGGGTTTGAATCCCAGGTTCGTCTTGGTTATGACTCAAGGTATCATGGGTTTCTCAAGTGGTAAAAGTATATTCCTTGCATCATTTTGGGTTTTCCCCACACATTATGCTAAACTGCTGAGATAATATTGTCAAAATGGTAACAAATCCCGGGGTTAGAACTTAACACTAGCCCGCTAGCCTGGGGCAAGTACAAATTCCAACAGGCGAGTACAAATTTCCACATTTCCCCATTGTATTGTTTTAACATTACAAGCGCTTTTTATCTTTACCCAGGCTTGTAAAGCTTTTGAGTTTAGTTCTAACCCTGAGTCCCACTTAATTATTAATCCAAAAGTAGGGAAGACTAGCCATCACTGTCATGTCTACATCAAATGGTACATACAACCCTCCATTCTATGCCTAGAGATTTGCTCCTGGGCCCACCTCCACAAAGTGACATTAGCACTATGACTATCATAAGCCTATTTTAAAGTATGGGAGTTCATTAGATGGCTTTGTGCTACTACCCAGAAACAAGGATAGTAGATACAGGAGGTAGCATATACACAATGGAATGAATATAATCGTATGACAATGTTTGTCTGCCACAGACTGTGTGAGCAGATTCCTTATGTGGAACTGAGGAAAGCATGCGTCCATCTGCTGCTGTCCATGCTGTGTCTGCCTCTCCACTTCAAGGACCTGGAGATCAAAGGTAAGTCCTCTACATCTCACCTCACCACTGGCAACCACACTGGTTGTCTTCTTTATCAGGCCATCCTTCATCAGTCTGACATACCCAAATGTTGGCAGGCTGCCATCAGGAACAAACAACCTTAAGAAGCTGCAGGCCCTGACTAAACTCTTCAGGCACTGACTAAACTCTTCAGGCACTGACTAAACTTTTCAGGCCCTCTTGGCAACAGGCAGCTTGTTGTGACAAAAAAATAAAGACCCTTTATTTACTGCAGGCCTTAAGGTCCTACACAACTTTGAAACTACAGGTCCAACACAAGATCTACCTGCCGAAAGGCCAGCTATTGTGTATGTGTATTCCGCCAATATTAAGCTGTGCCGACAAGATTAATTTACTATGAGTGAAATCATTAAGAGTTGGTGTTATTACCTACACATTTCAATAACCTCACATTTTATGTCAGGCTGCTTATAGTGCTTAATTGTTGATCTATTGATGGCGCTGCAGTGTTCTGTAATAACATTGCTACAACACGGAAATCTTGTCATCAAAGTTATTTTAAGAGGAGCTGCTGTTTTTGTTTTATTATTTTGATTGGATTCCGTGTAAAATTGGTCCGCAGTAATCTCATCTTCCCAAGGCAAGGGAGTTAACTGACTAAAAAAGTCCAGTTGCCAAACTAGGTTGGAATTTCATGGCTCGATCGTAGCGCCACTAGTGGCAGTTACGAGTTATGTCCCTTCTATGTCCCTGTTAGTGACCAATCAGATTCCATCTCTCCTTTTCATTTTCTCTAAACAATATGCGTGCATCACTGCTGGACTCACAGTTATTTACAAGCCACCATGACATAGTTCTAACATTGCTGACTTGAGATGAAACATCGCTCACTCACACTCTTTCGCTCATATCTCACACAGACATCCTGTCCAGCCCTGAGACGCCCGACCACTGCCTGTCCTTTATCTCACTCAAGACGCGCATCTTTGACCTCCTGCAGAAGGCCCTGTTCAACGAGACAGACTCCGGCAACACGCAGATGCTACTGGGTCAGTCACTGATTGGTCACTGATGAGTCTTCCAACAATGATGCAATTCAAATACAAAGTTTAGTCTTGTCTAATTTTGATAGCAGAGTAGCCGCTTCCATAGACTTGGTTACAAAACAAGGGGCGACCATCATGGTATATTAAGAGAATATAACACACCCAGCAAAGTATATTGTTGTTAAAGTGTCTACAAAAATGCCAGTAACTGTTGAAGTTATCTGCAAATTCTACCAACAAGGTACATTTGCCTCTACAACATACTCAGCTGAACCGGTGACTTTACTATCAGTTGGGCGGTCGGGTAGCCTAGTGGTTAAAGCGTTTGCTCGTCATGCCGAAGACCCGGGTTCGATTCCCGACATGGGTACAATGTGTGAAGCCTATTTCTGGTGTCCCCCGCCGTGGTATTGCTGAAATATTGCTAAAAGCGGCGTAAAACCATACTCACTCACTCACTTTACTTTCAGTCCTTGGCATATCTTTCTATGACTTGAAATTTCATTTTATGTACAAGTGGGAACCTTTAGCATATCAAAGCCATAAGTACATGTTTGAAGTGACCCTTTAGTACCCAGCTGTTATGTCTCCATTCTATTACAATAAGTACCGTGTAGCCATGTGCCACCATAGCTTCGTTTCAGAGCGAGTGATGCAAGGGTCTCCATCTCTCCTGCCACTGCCTCAGCACAGAATGTTTCTACATCATGACAGTTATTTCATGGATGGCTTTCTTTTGGGTCACACTATTTAAATGGGGCTAAACACAAAATATTGTTGCGAATGGGTCCACGATTTGTATGAGAATAGAATGGAGATATTATATACTGGATAATTGAGGGTCGTGTTGAGAGAAATATACTGATCGTACATTCAACCATGAATTTTGAAAATTCGTGATTCTGATTTTAAATGTCTGTAACCACCTGTGTTTGGAACAGCTGATGTCATAATAGTGACATATGGTGTACAACTAAACCTTGCGATACTTGCTTAGAGAGTTCCCACTTCATATTGGCTTATGAAGTAGCTGTTGCTGTGCTGCACCCTTTTAATGCCTGTCAAATATGTGAGTTAAAAGTTAAACTGAAGGTATTAAAAAGAATTATTTCAGCTTAGACAACCCCATAATTATACTGCCAACCTAAGAGGGCGGGGGTTTATAGTTATACCAAGGAATAGTGTCCGTCCTACTGAGGACATTTTTGTGTTGGATGTAGACCTTGAAAACTAATGCATAGATTCTTTTTTTCAACTGTGTGAACACTTTCTAAACCGATAGTAGAGGTGCAGTGCGAAGTTTCATTTTAAAATTTGGATTTTCTGAAAAAAATACAGCATTTATTTTCCCTTTTTTTACTTAAAATGTTTTACTTACGGTTAACATTTTGCAACCTATGACTTGAAAACTGCCTCATGGATTCTTTTCCAATTGGGGGTACAATCTCTATACCAAAAGGAGATGTGCAGTGTCAAGTTTAATTTTCTGAGAAATATTGCTTTTTTCATGTTATGAACTTGGAATAAACTTAGAATATGTTGGAGTCGAACGTCAGGGGTATTAGTGCTCACTTGTTGTCTTGTTTGTTTAAAGCATTTCCTTAATTTAGATGGAAAATCCATTTAAACCACTCAATATCTACACTATCACCAAAAGAGTGTGTGTTATATTTTTTCATAGTTGAATGGAGATAAACATACTGTGTTATCAATTTAGAGCCTGGTTACCTGTAGATTTACTAAATGAGACTTGTCATTCCGCGACTGGCTGCAGGGGGCCTGATGCTGGTGGTGCAGGACCTGGCTACGTGCGAGGAGGCAGAGCAGCTGACGCTGCAGCCCCAGCAAGACGTCTCCGATGGAGATGTACAGGCTGGTGAGCATTGCTATATATCCATTCCATTTCCCTCACCGACTGAAACACAATGAAAATGCAATGATGAAAAATAACTTTAAAGAACAAATTATGATTTCATTCTTCTTTGAATTCCAAGACCACCTCCATGGTGTGCACACACACACACACACACACACACACACACACACACACACACACACACACACACACACACACACACACACACACACGTTGCTATTTCAGTGTGCAATAATCTCAAACACAACCCTATTTCACCTCACCTGAATTCCAAGGCAGTGATTTCTCTTCTACATCCTTTATTCTTCCTCTCCCACCTCCTCTGTTCTCTCCATTCCTGCAACATATCCTTTATTCCTCCTCTTCCATTTTTGTTCCTTCTTACCTCAACATCGATGATTTTCCTCTTCCATCTTTTTTCCTCTTTTCCTCCTCCACATCCATTTATTTCTTCCTCTTCCACCTCCTCTGTTCCTCCTTTTTCCTTTTCCTCTCTTTCTCTAAAATCTTTTCAATGTACCTGTGTTGTGTTTGCAGACATGAGCCAGACCAGCACCAGTACATCCTCAGGGGAGTCCAGTTACCACGATGCCTCCTACCACAGACTCCAGTCTCAGCCCAGGGATCTTGGTCAGTATGCCACACCCTGTTATTGCTAATTGTATGGAGAATATCATGCTAACACACTGGGACATAACTGAAAAAATGTTCAAAACAGTTGTAAACTCAACTCACTAGCTTTTCCAACAGCCTGAAGATGTTGATGTATTAGTAGACAGCCATCACTCTCAGCAACACATATTTCAGACACAGCATATGGACTTTTCGGCCATGCAACCTCCCTCGTCTGCACTCGACTCATGGCCTCTTGGAAGTCTGAACTCAACACAGCACTAGCAGCAATGGAACTCCTTGCAGGGTTGGCCAAGGTCTGCATCAAGCCGCCCAATGCTATGATGTGCAAGAGAACAGTCAAGTGGATTTGTGATTTCATTGTCTTCCAGTGTAGCAGACCAGCTCCGTCTCATTCAAGAGATCTCCATTCGATGATTGTTGCTGCGTTTAAATGTCTGCAGCTGTGGCTTGTGGAACACAGCAGCCTGCTGTATGACAAGGAATGTCTGCACAATGTCCTGGAGGTTGTGGAATTGGGAATATCAGGCTCCAAGTCACAGGTCAGTGGACCAAATAAGCTGGAGCCTTTTGTGTTCAGTTACCATGGTTATTAGCTTTAACTTTGATTTAACTATTAATTATTCTTGTTCACATGATCTTTCATTTCATCCTTAAGAAACACTGCACTTCGTATTCTGCATGGAGGCATTATTGTTAATTTACTTATTTATTCAGTGGGATAATTTCATTCATGGAAATTCATTTTTATGTTATTATCGTCTATTTTATTCTTTTAACATTGCTTACTGTTCATGGTCCAGTGTCCTAAAGCAATTTAAGCGCAATGAATATCGTAACTGTTTGTTAAAGTGTGGCACTTATGTCAGTTGTTGCGATAAGGTTGCTGTGCCTCAGTATGGTTCCACAAAGTTCTCTTTGCTAAGAATATCGTGAAGGGCAAGTAAACTAAAAAAAATGATTGTGATTTTGTTGCAAGTATCAATCTTTCTAGATACATTTAATCAATTTCCAAGAGAGATATATTCTTAGAGAGGAATTCAATGTCCAAGTGAAAATGCTGAAATGACAGCTCTATAGTTGGCTTCCAAAACAACAAAACAAACAGTGTTGCATGACAAATGTTTTCATTGGCTGATATGTCGACCTACTTGGAATATATATATATATATATATATATATATATATATATATATATATATATATATCCCCTGATGCTACTAATAAGGCATAAGTTGACATAAGTCGTGGACACGGTAATCAAATGGATGAGCACACCGGAAAAGGCTGTAATGTGATTTAAACGTCTGAGTTGGAAGAAGGCAGACTGTGTACCAACCCAATCATTCAAATTGTGCAGGGCATCAAAGACCAGGAACCTGTTTTAACCTCAGCGAGGGTGATTCCCCTTGGCGGATTTTTTTCGTTTTGGGGACGATTTCACCTGTCATTGTTTATAATCTGTTTTACACTATTTCCGTTGTTTCACATTTATTTTTGGTCAAACGTTTGTGATTCAGTATGCCATAAAGTATTAAAATCTGCAAAGTGGCTAGGTTGACGTGTCCATGTTAAAGTGTGTTGAGTTACGATCGTTGCAACGCTAAGATTGCTTTATGGAATGGGACCCTGAACATTTTACTTGGGCAGTTGGATTATAACGTTTCAGTGGTCTTGTTGAAAGTATGATTTCCACACTCTTGTTGAATTTTCTTCATGCACATTTTATTTCAGTGTTGTTTTAGTTTGGTGTTTTCAATGGTTCACTTTCAGAGCAAGTCAGCCGATTCTCTGTATCTTAAGGTTAAGGTTGAGAAGGATACTAAGTCTCTGCCTGCGACCAAGGTAGAGCCTTGACATTGTGTAGTCCTGTACATCTAGACTAGTCCTTCTGTGGTGCTTGGGAAGCTTTGTCATTAGCATGTGATGATAAAAGATGAAACCTGTATTGTTTGTCTGAGAATGTACCCCCACATCCTTGTAACCAGGGTTTTCAGATTGTCAAAATACCTGTTGCTTACTTCATCAGTATGACATCCATATGAAGACATACATAGTCTCAAGCTTGAGACTACAGTAGAACATGGATATAACGAACTACAAGGGACCGGAGAAATCAGTTTGTTATATACGTCGCTCAGAAACCTCCGCCATCTTGGCTAAAGCAAAACACAATACACATACAATTTATACATGTTTTCTCTAGCATCTACCGTTGATTCCGTTCGAAAGTACCCAATGATACAACTTCAAAAAGTTTTGATGCAATAGTCGGAAGAAATTGTATCTGAAAGTTTTACTTTATCAGAATAATACATTCCAATTTCGTGTTATTTTAGTTACAGCTTTCACTATATATATTTAAAATAATAAGAACCATAAGCATAGCACTTTAGTACAGGTGATTGCTATTGCCAGATATTTTACGTAAGGAACAATTTGACCAGTCACCGTAGGGACTTCCTGCGCTACATGTATTTTGATTGCATACAGCCAATTGTCAGTGACACATGAGAGAGATTTCTCAGTTCGCTATACACGTCACTAATTAGTGGTATTTGGGCTTTTTGGGGATCAGATATCAGTTCGCCATATACATAAGTTTGCTGTAGAGAGTTTGTTATGTTATATGATAATATAAAGGAGATAAATCAGGGAATTTTTAACAGTTCCTTGTATCTGTTTGTTCGTTCTATCCGAGTTCGTTATATCTGTGTTCTAGTGTATGTATATTTATGTATTTATTTGAATTCCCTATGGGAGTGAACAGTTTAGAAGACCCATATGAAGGCTAAATAAGATTCTGAAACTTGAGAAGGATACTTTTTCACACTAGAATATAACAGGATGGCTGCCCACATGGCTTCTTCATTTTCTGTTCTTAGCCGTAGGACTTCTTTCTATCTCTCAGTTGACAGATATTATTTAAATCTGTCTCTGGGTGGAGGACCAAACTTGCAAAAACATATTTTTTATTGATTTTTGTTTTAATTTCTTTACATTCTATGTAGTGAAAACAAAATGAAATTGATGTGCTTCAACAGCTCCCTTTGATTCCTAATGCTGGAAATAGCCAATCAGAAATGTGACTGGGTCAGTAGGAATGGCAGGGCGAATTGTTGCTTCTGTACATGGGCTGTGCAGAACACTGGTTGGTTGGATGTTGTCCAGTTGTGCTTGGGTATGTGAAGTGAATGGTTGCATGCCTCCCTCCCTAAACTGTGTCAGCGTATGGTTTGATTCATGCCCAGTAAATATCAGGTGTATTGTTGTACCCAGCTACTGGTGAAAGTGCAGATGGATGTTTGCAGACATTGTTGTACTCTTGCTGTTCATTAACGGGATGTAATGCAATCTCATTAAAATCAGACCTCAGTTTTCGTTATCGCTAAACAAAGATCTGAGGACATCCAATTAGGCGTCAGGTCAGAACAACCTTTCATCCGACCAATCAGAGCATCACTTACCAGATTATGAAAGTGACAGTCAGAATGTGATTTCTAATCATGCAACCTCGAAAACTTTAACTCCGAACGATAGTTACGGGTTTAACGACTGAATCCATACAATCTAGACCATCTATTAGCCATTCCAGAATGTTCTTCTTTTCAGGTTTCAAATTTGTAATCGAGAATTTGTCGAAATATGTTTCGAAGCGTAGTCGCCAATTTGAAATTAGTGCCGTAAAGCACGAGAAAGCTGCCTTCTGATTGGTCATTCCATTGGTCGGTCAATGTTTGCGCAAGGTCAGTCTGACGTGAGCCGTAATGGGATGTCCTCAGATCTTTGTTTAGCGGTAGCGAGAAATAAGATCTGATTTTAATGGGATTGGATGTAATGTTGGTTATACATGTGTGGGTCACTTCTGTGGATTCTCCTGAGGATTGCAAGGGGATCAGTGTAATTTAAGGTTAATCAGGACTGATTTGTTTTTTAACTTTGTTTGCAGATTCCAACCAAATTTCACAAAAAATGAATATGCTTGAAAAAACTTTACATGTATAGTCTTTTTTCTTCATGCTAAATCTGTTGACGATATATAGGGGTTAGAAAATACTTAAGTTGATATTGGGAATGATAGCAACTGTACCAAGTTTCCAAGACTCTTTCCCTGAGAACCAATCATTGTTATTTGTCTGGCCTGATTTTGGACTGGTGTGTATAATGTATTTCATGAACACTGAGATAAACGCTTTCCCTTACCTGTAGGAAAGTCATGAAAAACATATCTTCCATATTTTGTCATCAATAACGTTCAGTATCATCCAGTGTTCTGAACATATATCGGAACATATATCCTATTTCTATAACCTGCAACCAGTGTGATATTTATGTGTTTGGATAATAACTGTACTGCTCGCAGCCATACCTCTTTTTGCAACCCATTACTGTGATATAAACCTCTGAATTGATAATCCTTTCCGTATTTATACTCCCAAATAACCCAGTGTGTACCACGTACCTATAACTAATTCTCAAATCATTGGAGGGGGCATTTTGTGGTCCTCGCATTGCAGAGTTGTCTCCCTTAGCTTCCAGGAGCTGTTGTGTATGGGTCTGATTCCGGATAAGTTCAGTTTAAAACCCTTGGATCACGCCAGTACTGGTTGATTTAAAGTAGTAAATGTTTACGACCTATGTCACTGTAGCTGACCTCCCATTATAAATTGATACATTGTAATGTAGCTGAAGTTCCTTTCCACGTCTAAAGATCTGTCACTGAGTAAATCAGATATCTTGACTTGGTCCTGATTTATGCACTGGGTATTTAGAGTCTACTTATATCCCCTCCACTGACCTGTTTATGTATCAGTGTCACATTCTCAAGGTGAGTAGGTATTGCAGTGGGAATGAAACCCAGGTGTGCTGCGTAATAAGCAAACGCTTTGCCCACTAGGCTCCCCAGTATCAGTAGGAGTTCCTGAGAGTATTATCATAGGAGTGTAAATGCCAACTAAATTGAAATTTTAGGTCAATATCCTAACATACAGCTAGTTGTAATCAACTGACACCAGACAGATTTTAGTGTGGTAGTTTAGAAGTTTATTTTTGCAGTGCACTTGCTAGACTATCAGGTAACACATTAGACAATTTCACATTATTATCCAAATAATATGAGTTTTAGCTCAAGTTTGATGTTTCTTGTTTGGGTGTTTGTTAAGGTATGTGCAGCCTATTAGCATTGAATGTTATCATATTGGTGTGGTTAGACAAATTATGATTTATACATAGCACATTTTTTAGGTAACATTAAGTTTGAAAAAGATGCTTAACTAAACTGTTGATTTAAGTTTTTTTACTTGAAATATTTTGTGTGATTTAAGATGATGGTTTACTCATGTGTGTTAGCATCTTGAAATTATTATAGAAATTGTAGAGTGTCTGTTATTAAAGGAATGTAGAGTGTCTGGTTGTCATCTTTTAGAACAGAGCCAGTGACCCACCCAAATTCAAGGGAGATAAGCAGCTGATGCCAGCATCAATGAGGGTCAAGGATGCGGCTGAGGCTGTTCTAACCTGTATTATAGACCAGGTGGTGAGTAGACGAGTGCTTGGTAGAATAATTTAATGATCTGCCTAAATAAAAGAATGACACGGCTCTGCCACTAACACTGGGAATGTCTCATGAACTTTAAGAACATTTACTTGTAAAGTCAGATCATGTTGCTCAGTTACAATTTTGACAAGCTTAACTTCTGAAAGTTTCAAGGACTTTGTCCATTCTGTACTGAAATACAGGTTATAAAACATACAGTATCTCCTTCCAGTGTTCACCTAGCAGCAAATGGGTACCTGGTAGGATGAGAGGGTGGGTTTGAATGTCGACCCTGCTAGCACCATGTAGGCAGCTGTAGTTGTTTACTGAGAATTGCATTCTGAATATACACTGATCCATTGATCAAGGTATGCATCAGAGCATGAATATAATGTGACATAAATATCCATTTTTTTATCCCCAGGGATAACCCATCTTCAAATTTATTTTTTTCTAAATTTACTAAACCAGATAGTTATAAATATATATTTTATTCTTTGTTTTACCTTAGAGCTTTATGACTTTCCCAAGTCAATGTTCAAGTAGGCAATTGTCTCTGCACAAAGATCGCTTTATTGAACAGGGCCCTATGATATATGAGGGCAAGGATGTGTATGCACTTTATCTGGGATGGTATGTCAGCTATTGCACCTAACACACACTCTCCTGTCTATCTAGGGGGCGTTCCCTCCTCCGTGTGGACCTGAGTCCCTCTTCTCACTGCTGGATGAGAGATCCCTGCTCAAGTACGCCAAGGGGAGTGCTCTACCAGAACATGGCTCCCCTTTCAGATACTTTGCCATTGACAACTCCATCATCATCGGTCTGCTGGAACAGCCTCTGGGTAATGTAGAAGGTAAAAGAGTTATCTGAACTTGGGCCGAAGGGGAGATAATCCATCAGTTTTTCCATCATCGGTCTGCTGGAACAGCCTCTGGGTAATGTAGAATGTAAAAGAGTTATCTGAACTTGGGCCTCAGGGGAGATAATCCATCAGTATTTCCATCATCATCGGTCTGCTGGAACAGCCTCTGGGTAATGTAGAAGGTAAAAGAGTAATCTGAACTTGGGCCTCAGGGGAGATAATCCATCAATATTTCAATCATCATCGGTCTGCTGGAACAGCCTCTGAGTAATGTAGAATGTAAAAGAGTTATCTGAACTTGGGCCTCAGGGGAGATAATCCATCAGTATTTCCATCATCATCGGTCTGCTGGAACAGCCTCTGGGTAATGTAGAAGGTAAAAGAGTTATCTGAACTTGGGCCTCAGGGGAGATAATCCATCAGTATTTCCATCATCATCGGTCTGCTGGAACAGCCTCTGAGTAATGTAGAAGGTAAAAGAGTTATCTGAACTTGGGCCTCAGGGGAGATAATCCATCAACATTTCCAAAAAGTCTGTAACGTGGAAGGGAAGGGAGTTGAAACATTTTCCAAGTGAAAATATGGTGCAAAAATGTCATAAATGGAACAGTTGCCATATGAACAATAATACTCTGGGTAATGTGGAAGGTAAGGGAGATAATCTGAATATTGAGCTGTGCATATTGAGATAACCCATCTCTATCTCAATCATCATCATCATCATCATCGGTCTGCAAGGACAGCCCCTTTGAAGATAAGGGAGATAATCTGAACATGGAGCTGAGGTTATATTGCCCCATTAATGGGAACATCAGTGAGTTTTGTATGTTACAAGGTTACAGTCTGCAACTTTAAATACTAGTCTAAAAAGCCAGGATGTTCGGTCTAGGGTCAGCTAATAATAGTCCATGTATTAACACTGAAATCTACTTAAATGACACCAAGGGCAATGTTCGGGCTTGAAGACTAAAGTTTTTGCCTGACACTGGTCTTTGTTTTTCGTTTATAACAGTTAATTGCATGTTTTTGAACGACAATGGCATTATTCATAATATCAAAATATCATAATTATAGGCAGCTGTCATAGAACTGGATTATTAGTTCAGCTAATTAGGACTTTTGTTATTAATTTTTTCCATACTTGTTAAGAATGAAATATTATTAATTTTGAGAACTCAACAAGAAAGGCAAAAGGTTAGCAAGAGTATCTCCTATGGGTATTCAAGCCGGGGGGAGACAGATGTTGAAAGTTTGGTTTGCTATTTTCTCAGATCCTCTTCCTATGGTAACATCTTTAATCAGAGGACCATTTGGGCGCCATGCGTGGACGATGCAGCTGCGACATTCGCCCAGGGCACAGAAGGTGATGACTTTCATGAGGCTGTATAAGATGTACCCGGTACAACTGGGCATTCAAACTTGTGACCAATAATTCACATGTACTTCAGACAAACTAGCATACCTTCATGTCTCCTACACCTTGCCTGTATCCTTGTATTATGTGCCTATTGTGTATTCAGTGATGAAATACTGTTTTTATCTGAAAGTATATACCGTATTTGATGTAATAAGCGCCCTTTAATAAGCGCCCACTGCAATATTTTCTAATATATTGGCTAGCGTACAATCCCAATTAGCACCCCTTCCGATTGATCAATGTACACAGGACTTATTTATTTGTGTATAATACGCATTTTATATGCATTCATAATTATCGGAAATTAAATTCTGGAAAAAAAATATATCTGGCGTATATAAACATTTCAGGCTGTTAGCATAAACCACGAAATTTACGATCTTTCAACTCTGTTGTTTTTCACCAAAATAATATTCTAATAAGAGCCCCCTATTTCTAACTTTGAGAGTGCCCTGGGCGCTTATTATGTCGAATACGGTACTTGATATTTCACTTGATGTTTATAGAGTAAAATGCTGAGGATCAGTTTGAAAATATACATAATGAATAGATGACTTGATCTTGTCTTGTCAAATAACATGTTGATCTCATCACAAGACCTGTCAGAGTTGATAGTTTCAGGAGTGGCAGAGCCACATGTGAAACTATCAGTTCTTTTGGTCGCAAGATGAGATACACAAACTAGACATGTTATTTAAGCCTAAGATAAGATAACACTTTGTTATCTCAAAGGAAATTGGGGTTACATTAGCACAATGTCTCATCTTGTTGATAAACACACATACACGTAAACGAGAGCATCACAAACGTAATTAACTTTACAGATTGCACTAGCAGATAAATGACAAAGTAGTCACAATTTATGGATAACAACTTCTTTAATACTGTAAAGGCGACGTTTCGGTATGGATCCTTATACTGTTGACAACTTCTAAGTAATGCCTATCAAACAATTCATAGCGGATAAATGGACAACAATTATTTATGACAAAGCTTATTATAGAACCTGGTCACAGCTGGTATGAATGAATGCTGGGCCCTGTTTATCCTCAACATCAGCAATTGTAGTCAGCGGCCAGAAGGAAAGAGTTGATTCTCCGAACGTAAACATGCAAGTTATGGCTTAATATTTTGTTTGACAAGACAAGACAAATGTTGTCTTTCACATGATCATTGATATTTGATTACATATCTATGTTCCATTTATTACTATCGCCATCTTGAAGCGGTATTGGTCCATGTTTGAGTCAGTTCGTATCCTGGTCGCAGGGTATTTCTGCAGCACTTGTTTGTTTCGAGTAACTTGGGGATTGTTTACCAGTGTCTCGTGTTGTTGTCACACGATCAGCCGTTTGGAAAATAAACCTACTGTATTTTCACTTTCGAGTCTTCAAACATAGCTTTGATACTTGTACATTTTTCACATTTTAACCTCAGTGTTTATCTCATTGCGTAATATGAGTGGGGTTGTTAACTGTTTCCTAATCTGGATGTATTGCTCTATGGTGGGTGGGTTAACTGTTAACCATTCTGCTGGCATTATTGTTATGGGAACTACAGATGTTGTACAAAAAAGCTGACACTAACATTTGTTCCCCAGATTTCTTCTCAAGCCCACCTGTCTGATCCCGGCCGGCCTATCCCCAACGGCGATGTCGGCATCCACCACAACGTTCAGCACCGATACTTCCCCGAGAGCGTGGATAGGATCCCTCTCACACTGGCGTAAGTCATGATTATGGAAATCAGTATATAAGAAGTAATTAGTACACTGACTTGACTAATTTGTCTCTTGATTCTGGACACATAGGCTTGAATCAGACATTGTTTTTTATTATATCACACAAAAGCCTTAGCCGAAATACAAAACATGATCTTGCATTTAATTATCCCCCTCACAAACATGTTTTATCAGTGGATATAGAAACAGGTACCGTCTGTGTCCAACACATTTCATTTCCAGAGAATAATTCATAAACTGTTCAATATTTCTTCACAATACTTTGTATCATATCAGGCATGCATTGAACTAGTGCCTTTTGAATTTATTTTTACAGTTTTGAAAGTTTATGTTTTTCTGTTTCCATGGCAACAAGTTGGACTTAGGTTCAAATGGGGATACCAGTGTTCATATCCAGATCCTAACTCATAAACCGTTCAATATTTCTACGACTCATTCAATCAGTCTTTTTAATAAAAGGGCAAGAGCCAACAAGTAAAGTATAATGCAGTTTGAGACATTTTTCATAAACCTTGTATACACATCAGGCATGCATTTAATAGTTGCCTTTTGCTGTTCAGAATTTTTTTATTTATTATGTTTTATACAATATACTTTTTAAATTTTTATACACATACACAAGCTGAACAAGCAATTCAAAGCATCATCCATTCATGCTGACTTGGGTTATTCCCTTACGTTGGTTCCAGGGACAAGAGTATACCCCCCATGGAATGTCTGGTAACGGATAGCAACAAGGAGGAACTAGATCACTTGAAGACACTCATAGAACAGCAGATTGTTTTCGAGGGAGATGTCAGCAACCAGGCCAAGATAGCAAGGGAGAAAACTCCATTCCCAGATCCACAGACAGAATGCAAACCCCCAAGGTTTATACTTTAAAATGTTTTTAAAATATCAATTTTTGCAAAACTAGCCATGTCAGTGGAACAAGCACCATTGACAGTGTGTATGTTATTCATGATATTATACTTGAGGCTTCAGTAAAGGTGCTAAGATTAATTATCATGTCTGTGATTATATTCGCCAGGATCAGCCATGACTACCAGACAGCACGCCTCTTCCTGTCTCACTATGGCTTCCTGTCACTGGAGGCACTCAAGGTAGGCATGGTCACATTCATAGTGTCACATGGTCACATTCATAGTGTCACATTGTCAATTTCATAGTGTCACATGGTCACATTCATAGTGTCACATGGTCACATTCATAGTGTCACATTGTCAATTTCATAGTGTCACATGGTCACATTCATAGTGTCACATGGTCACATTCATAGTGTCACATGGTCACTTTCATAGTGTCACATGGTCACATTCATAGTGTCACATTGTCAATTTCATAGTGTCACATGGTCACATTCATAGTGTCACATGGTCACATTCATAGTGTCACATTCATAGTGTCACATGGTCACATTCTTAGTGTCACATGGTCACATTCATAGTGTCACATTGTCAATTTCATAGTGTCACATGGTCACATTCGAAGTGTCACATGGTCATGTTCATAGTGTCACATGGTCACATTCGAAGTGTCACAGTCACAGTCAAATAGTGTTATTTTATCACATTTTACAACATGATCGTATGAATATTGCCATATTGTCACATAAATAGTACAACCCATGTTTGCCATAAGTGGCGACTATGCTTGTCGTAAGAGGTGACTAATAGGATCGGGTTATTTACAGACCCCGTCATATAGCTGGAATATTGCTGAGTGCAGGGTTAAAAAACAAACAAAACAAAAATAGTATAACTTTGTAGACATGGCCTGTCTGATCATTTGAAGATACATTTGAGGTGTTTGATGTAAAATATATAAAAATAGGTAGTCATTAGCAAACGCCCATCCTTTGAAACTATTTACGCGCCTGGGCACTTCTACTTTTGTACATGGTAATTGGGATATTTTGCAAATGACTCTGCTTAGAACAAATATGGCTTTTGGAACACACTCATCCTAGCCGTCCATACCAATTGAAGACCAACAAGCATGACCTGGCTTTATTACTGAGTTAACTCTGTATTTGTACAGGAACCCTCCAACAGCAGTGTACCACCAGCCCTGGTCAAGCTGGACAACTCGTCCGGTGGTCTGTGTGCTGACCTAGAGGCTCTGGACGGTGTGCCCAGCCGAGACAACGACACTGTGCACATTTTCTATGCCAAACCTGGACAGAAGACACCACAAGAAATACTCAGCAATGTGGTGAGTTCATCAGGTTCTTACATTACAAAATATGAAAGAGTGGCATGGAGTGGCTAAGGTGAAAGAGTGGCATGGAGTGGCCAAGGTGAAAGAGCGGCATGGAGTGGCCAAGGTGAAAGAGTGGCATGGAGCGGCCAAGGTGAAAGAGTGGCATGGAGTGGCCAAGGTGAAAGAGCGGCATGGAGTGGCCAAGGTGAAAGAGCGGCATGGAGCGGCTAAGGTGAAAGAGTGGCCTGGAGTGGCCAAGGTGAAAGAGCGGCATGAGTGGCCAAGGTGAAAGAGCGGCATTGAGTGGCCAAGGTGAAAGAGCGGCATGGAGCGGCCAAGGTGAAAGAGTGGCATGGAGTGGCCAAGGTGAAAGAATGGCATGAGTGGCCAAGGTGAAAGAGTGGCATGGAGTGGCCAAGGTGAAAGAGTGGCATGGAGCGGCCAAGGTGAAAGAGTGGCATGAGTGGCCAAGGTGAAAGAGCGGCATGGAGTGGCCAAGGTGAAAGAGTGGCATGGAGCGGCCAAGGTGAAAGAGTGGCATGGAGTGGCCAAGGTGAAAGAGTGGCATGAGTGGCCAAGGTGAAAGAGCAGCATGGAGTGGCCAAGTTGAAAGACAGGCATGGAGTGGCCAAGGTGCAAGAGCGGCATGGAGTGGCTAAGGTGAAAGAGTGGCATGGAGTGGCCAAGGTGAAAGAGTGGCATGGAGCAGCCAAGGTGAAAGAGTGGCATGGAGTGGCCAAGGTGAAAGAGTGGCATGGAGTGGCCAAGGTGAAAGAGTGGCATGAGTGGCCAAGGTGAAAGAGCGGCATGGAGTGGCCAAGTTGAAAGACAGGCATTGAGCGGCCAAGGTGAAAGAGTGGCATGGAGCGGCCAAGGTGAAAGAGTGGCATGGAGTGGCTAAGGTGAAAGAGTGGCATGGAGTGGCCAAGGTGAAAGAGCGGCATGGAGTGGCCAAGGTGAAAGAGCGGCATGAGTGGCCAAGGTGAAAGAGCGGCATTGAGTGGCCAAGGTGAAAGAGTGGCATGGAGCGGCCAAGGTGAAAGAGTGGCATGGAGTGGCCAAGGTGAAAGAATGGCATGAGTGGCCAAGGTGAAAGAGTGGCATGGAGTGGCCAAGTTGAAAGACAGGCATTGAGCGGCCAAGGTGCAAGAATGGCATTGAGCGGCCAAGGTGCAAGAGTGGCATTGAGCGGCCAAGGTGCAGGAATTGCCATGCAGAGTTGCATCCCCTAGGCATTCCAGAATCCTATGATGGGTTTGAATCCCAGATTTTCCCTGATTGTGATTCTTGGTTTGTCAGCACCGTTGTAGAAAAGTCTAAGACCTGCATCACTTTACTTGTCCTCCCTCATTTGGCCGCCACACCATGATACGCTCATATCTGGGGTTAAATCCCATTCACTTGGAAGATTGACATTTTCCTTTGGCTTTTTTACTAGATTTCCTGTTACAATTTTCATGTTTTGTTGAGGTAAGTGGCCTTTTTGGGTCCCCATGATTGTGGTTAGTACAAGGTGGTATTACCTTTTTATGTGGCCTGACATGGCCGCCTGTTTGTTTGATCCGGGCTTGATGTTACCCAGCTGTAATCTTTCTGCCTCGTAAGAATTTCATCAACATGGTCACACTCACGCACGCACCCAACCACTCACTTACACACATCTACACTTAACTCATCCAATCGCACACATGCACGCATGCACACACCAAAATATTGTTGTTCTCTAAGTAATACAGCTTTACAATATGCATGGCTCTACATATCTTTACACACACACACAACCACACACAACAAAACACAAACTCACCCATCACATATTCAATCATGTCCACACACAAGTCAAAGTCCATAGTCCACACACACACACAAACACACATGAAGACAATGAGTTTTGATAATTTTCCCAAAGCAGCTTTAGACATTACACACATTCACAAATGCCTGGATTTGCCACCAGATATGAATATAGAACCAGTAGGCTGTTTTGGATTTTTCATGATGTGAAGTTGCTGTGTACCTTCCCCTGCAGACCACTCAGTCCCGTGTTCAGCCCCAGTTCCTGGAGTTCCTGCACTCACTGGGATGGCCGGTGGATGTGCGGCGACACGCGGGCTGGACCGGACACATCTCAACCAGCTGGAGGATCATGGAGACCGAGGACTTTGATGGTGAGTTGGGCAAACCGATCATTGTCACATCCTGCTGTCTTTCAATGACAGTACAGGCAGAGGCGGTAGTAGTCAAGGAATTGTGTCCCCCAAGTAAACAATTTCCAGTCTTGACATTGTTCTCAAATATAGACACAGTGTTCTCAAGCTAATAAGGCTTTACAAATTTGTGATAATGGTTTTATTATCCCCCACCACGAAGTGGAAGGGGGATATAGGAATGGGTGCTGTCCGTCCATCCTTTGGTTCTTCTGTCCGTCATGTTTCATTTCCGGAGCAGAACTCAAAAACCATATCTTAACCAAACTTGGCACATAGATAGGTCTGGTGGGGAAATGGTGCCTTTTGTTTTATTTTTCAAGTTTCCATGGCAATGACTTTGACTTAGACTGAAAATGGCTGTAGAGCTTCACGTCATATTGGCGAGACTATGAGTATTTCATGCTTGTTTTAACATATTGTTAGATGTTATTTAACACTTCTCTTCTTTGTGTGGACTGGGGGCACGGGTGGCCCAGTCATCTAAGGCGCCGCGATTCGCTGTGCAGAGTTGTGTCCCTTGGACATGCCAGAAACCTATGATTGTGGGTTTGAATCCCGGTTCGCCCCAATAATGTTTCTAGGTTTGTCAGCACCAACCGTGCTTGTGGGTTTCACTGAAGTGGTAAATGTCTGAGACCTGCATCACTTCGGGCTTTCCTCCCACATTAAGCTGACACGCTGTGATATTACTGGAATACTGTTAAAAGTGGCTTTAAACCCAACTCACTCACTCACTCACTCACTCACTTCATGTGAACTAGTTTGGTGGTTAAGATGTATAATCTGACTGCTCGTGTCCTTCTTCTCTGATGACATTGTTTGTTGCTCATGCTATCAACCTCTGGTTGGCCTGGCCCAGACTCCTCTATAACTACAGGATGACAGAATGTAGCTGGCTAATTCCTGACTCACTTTGCCCACACCATGTTTCCACTTGAAGGACATAGCAGCAGACATCTACACCACGTTTCCTGTTTCAGATGATGACTACCAGACCGGTACAGGCGGCAGTGTGTACGATGGGAGGCAGCAGGTGCTGTACTGGGCTGATGTATCTTCAGAAATGGCCTTCGTTGTGCCATCCCCGGAGACGTTCAAGCTGAGGCTACTTAGTGTGGTCAGCGACACAGGTATGTCCATTTGGGATTGAGGTTAATGGGACAAGGTGTTTGCTGCTTAATTTCAGCAAGATGGGATTGGCCCAGTATGCTTTGTATGGCCTGACAGTCTAACCTGTAGGTCCTGTATTGGTGCTCCAAGTGTTCAATACTCACACCCACTCGTCCACTAGAAGTTGAGCACAAACTGGACACCAGCAGCATCTAGCTGCAGCACAGCTTTGCAACACTGTTACACAATGGTTAGAAGCTGGTAGGGCCAGGTGACTGTACCATACATGCTGCTAAATCTCTGATGTTTCTTTGTTGTTTAACATCACACTTAGCAATATTCCACCTACATGAAGGCAGCCTGTAAATAATCAAGTCTGGACCAGACGATCCAGTAATTGATATTGTGAGCAATGATCCACACTATCAGTGTACGAACACACTCAATCAACCAAGTCACAGAGCCTGACCAACTGATCCATTTGTCACCTCTTGTGACCAGCATAGGTTGCTGGGGGCCTATTCAAACCCAGATTCCCTACGGGGCTAAAGCTCTGAAGGAATTTTTACAAACCTTGCTGGCTGCTCACACACTGATCACTACAGCACAGACTTCCTCTGTGGTCTAGAGGACAGAGCGCCTGCCTGGAGAGCAGAAGGTCAGGGTTTTAAAAGATGGTACTTGTTGTTACTGTGCCTAGTGCTTGGCATTAAGGGGCTAAAACAAGGACTGGTCTGCTCAAAGTCAGTATACGGTGTCTGAATTGGGTGTTCATGTTAAACAACGGCATGGTATCTCAGTGGGCTAGCACTGCAAAACACTTGGCATTACTCCAGGTTAGTACAAGCAGACACACCCCACACAAGCAGACACACACACACTTGCACGCATGTGGCAATATAAGTGCAATAATCTTGAAGGCGACGTTAAACCATATTTCACCTCACAACAGCTCACTTGAGCAGATGCAACTGTCTATATGCTGTATATGAATGTATATTTCAATGATAGCATAATCATAATCATTTCTCATTTCCCAGATAAATCTCCAACCAGTGACCGCTTCTCCATGAATGAGCCTCACATCCAGCTGACAAAGCCAAAGTCACTCGGTCTGGAGGCAGAGAAGGGAGGTCGACAGGATCGCGAGAGTCCGGGGTCGCCACCAGAGGCTGCTGTTGCTAGTGGTAACCAGGCACGGATACGGAGACTTGGAAGACAGCCTACCTCCATGTTTGGTCCTGATACTAAAGTGTTCGCTGTTTGGTTAGAGAACTTTGAAGACCATGAGAACTTCCCTACAGGTTAGCAAATTATCTAGCACCTCACAGGGTAGACAAAACATTATAATTGCCAGGAGCACTGCATTGTGTTTGATTGTCATTCTAGAAGTTGGTGAGTAAATAAATAAACGTACAACTTTATGGATAACAACTTCTGGTTTAATCAGTAGTTGTACTTTTCCTTAGAACTGCCCATTTTTAAAAAAATGGAGAATATGTTAATGATTTATGATTACTGTTTATCTGGCCCGTGTAAATTGATTTTGTGGGTATGAGTCTTGGGGAGTATAAGTTCTTCCAGAGGGACAAATAATTTGTAATTCTGAGTAGGTTATTCTATTTGTTGGCCATATTATAAAATGTGGGTTTGCAATTACATGACGAGACATTATAGGTGAGCAGCTCTGTAGTGTCAGTAAAACATGTCACTTGACAGCAGTTGTTTCCTCCTTTTGACAAAACAATTTTGTAAGTAGGTGTGTCATGATCAACCTGCACACAATGTCTCCCTCTGTCATCAGTGTGTAGTGTACCCTCTGTCATCAGTGTTCGGTCCCCCTGTCATCAGTGTGTAGTCCCCTTCTGTCATCAGTGTGTACTCCCTCCCCCTACTGTCATCAGTGTGTAGTCCCCTTTGTCATCAGTGTGCAGTCCCCGTCATCAGTGTGTACTCCCGCACCCCCCGCTCTGTCATCAGTGTGTACTCCCCCCCCCCTCCCCACTGTTAGTCCCCCTGTCATAAGTGTGTAGTCCCCCTGTCATCAGTGTGCAGTCCCCTGTCATCAGTGTGTAGTCCCCCTGTTATCAGTGTGTAGTCCCCTGTCATCAGTGTGCAGTCCCCTGTGCCATCAGTGTGTAGTCCCTTTGTCATCAGTGTGTAGTCCCCTGTCATCAGTGTGTAGTCCCCTGTCATCAGTGTGTAGTCCCCTGTCATCAGTGTGCAGTCCCCTGTCATCAGTGTGTAGTCCCCTGTCATCAGTGTGTAGTCCCGTCATCAGTGTGTAGTCCCCTGTCATCAGTGTGTAGTCCCCTGTCATCAGTGTGTAGTCCCCTGTCATCAGTGTGTAGTCCCCTGTCATCAGTGTGTAGTCCCCCTGTCATCAGTGTGTAGTCCCCCTGTCATCAGTGTGTAGTCCCCTGTCATCAGTGTGTAGTCCCCTGTCATCAGTGTGTAGTCCCGTCATCAGTGTGTAGTCCCCTGTCATCAGTGTGTAGTCCCCCTGTCATCAGTGTGTAGTCCCGTCATCAGTGTGTAGTCCCCTGTCATCAGTGTGTAGTCCCCTGTCATCAGTGTGCAGTCCCATCATCAGTGTGCAGTCCCCTGTCATCAGTGTGTAGTCCCCCTGTCATCAGTGTGTAGTCCCCTGTCATCAGTGTGTAGTCCCCCTGTCATCAGTGTGCAGTCCCCCTGTCATCAGTGTGCAGTCCCCTGTCATCAGTGTGCAGTCCCCCTGTCATCAGTGTGTAGTCCCCCTGTCATCAGTGTGCAGTCCCCCTGTCATCAGTGTGCAGTCCCCCTGTCATCATCATGCAGTCCCCTGTCATCAGTGTGTTGTCCCCTGTCATCAGTGTGCAGTCCCCCTGTCATCAGTGTGTAGTCCCCCTGTCATCAGTGTGCAGTCCCCCTGTCATCAGTGTGTAGTCCCCTGTCATCATCATGCAGTCCCCTGTCATCAGTGTGTAGTCCCCTGTCATTGGTGTGTAGTCCCCTGTCATTGGTGTGTAGTCCCCCTGTTATCAGTGTGTAGTCCCCTGTCATCGTGCAGTCCCCTGTCATCAGTGTGTAGTCCCCTGTCATCAGTGTGTAGTCCCCTGTCATCAGTGTGCAGTCCCCTGTCATCAGTGTGTAGTCCCCTGTCATCAGTGTGTAGTCCCGTCATCAGTGTGTAGTCCCCTGTCATCAGTGTGTAGTCCCCTGTCATCAGTGTGTAGTCCCCTGTCATCAGTGTGTAGTCCCCTGTCATCAGTGTGTAGTCCCCCTGTCATCAGTGTGTAGTCCCCCTGTCATCAGTGTGTAGTCCCCTGTCATCAGTGTGTAGTCCCCTGTCATCAGTGTGTAGTCCCGTCATCAGTGTGTAGTCCCCTGTCATCAGTGTGTAGTCCCCCTGTCATCAGTGTGTAGTCCCGTCATCAGTGTGTAGTCCCCTGTCATCAGTGTGTAGTCCCCTGTCATCAGTGTGCAGTCCCATCATCAGTGTGCAGTCCCCTGTCATCAGTGTGTAGTCCCCCTGTCATCAGTGTGTAGTCCCCTGTCATCAGTGTGTAGTCCCCCTGTCATCAGTGTGCAGTCCCCCTGTCATCAGTGTGCAGTCCCCTGTCATCAGTGTGCAGTCCCCCTGTCATCAGTGTGTAGTCCCCCTGTCATCAGTGTGCAGTCCCCCTGTCATCAGTGTGCAGTCCCCCTGTCATCATCATGCAGTCCCCTGTCATCAGTGTGTTGTCCCCTGTCATCAGTGTGCAGTCCCCCTGTCATCAGTGTGTAGTCCCCCTGTCATCAGTGTGCAGTCCCCCTGTCATCAGTGTGTAGTCCCCTGTCATCATCATGCAGTCCCCTGTCATCAGTGTGTAGTCCCCTGTCATTGGTGTGTAGTCCCCTGTCATTGGTGTGTAGTCCCCCTGTTATCAGTGTGTAGTCCCCTGTCATCGTGCAGTCCCCTGTCATCAGTGTGCAGTCCCCTGTCATCAGTGTGTAGTCCCCCTGTCATCGTGCAGTCCCCTGTCATCAGTGTGTAGTCCCCCTGTCATCGGTGTTCTGTCCCCTGTCATCAGTGTTCTGTCCCCCTGTCATCAGTGTATGTGTGTTGTAGGGGACCTGTTGAGTGTGGCCAGTACAGGACAGGACCAACAGTGCAGCTCCAGCTCGTCCTCTGTACAGAAGGTCCCAGAGAAGGACATCTTTGTCCTCTTCATACACGCACTGCAGAACGGCTTGTTTCGCATCCACCTCCAGCTGCAGGACAAGGGCCACACCAAGTAAGGAATGGTGATAATAGGCAACTTTGAGACTCCACATTATGTATCACTACATTGTCACACTGTTCAATGGACCTCACGTCCCTCGGTGTATGTATACATTATGGTTGCAGGGAATCACAAATTTGGCTGGAATAAACTATTTATAATATCTACTATATTCAGGGTTGCCAAGAATCTATACATACACATTTTTCTGTGAGGTCTATGACAGAGTGATGTAGGGATCCTGGGTCATAGACCGCCTCCGTGGTCTAGTGGTAGAGCGTCCTTCCAGAGAGCGGAAGGACCAGGGTCACGTCATACCGAAAGACGTTAAAAGATGGTACTTGTTATCCTGTCTGGTGCTTGGCATTAAGAGGCTAAAACAAGGACTGGTCGGCTTGGAGCCAGTATGCTGTGTCTGAGGGGGTATTCATGTTAAACTGCAGCATGGTATCTCAGTGTGCTAGCACTATAAATTGGTATCAGTCCATATTAGTACAAGCAGCCACACACACACGTGCATGCACGTCGCAGTATAAGTGCAATAATCTTGAAAATGATGTTAAACCCCATTTCACCTCACTTCACCTGGGGCGTAACAGGTCCCTTGTTTGCCAAACTGACCATGAGAAGAAACTGAAGTGAAGAGTGGGTGGTTTCAACATGTGCCTTTGGTGACAGCGTGTCAGCGTACCCTGACATGCTTCGTGTAAAAGAGCACAGTAGGTATGGTAACTAAACTGGGGAAAGACAGTTTTCAACTTCATGTTTGTGTTAAACAGTGCTTTGCTGGCCCCAATTTACATACAGTTGACGACAATGATGTAATGGAATATTCCTTGCTATGGTTTTCTCTTCACTCACTCAGTGATGTCATTGCATGACTTGTTACAATTATTCCCTCACTCAATGATGTCATAAACATCACTCACTCACTCACTCGACCTGTGAAAATCCGGGGTAGAATAGGTCTTCAGCAACCCATGCTTTCCGTAAAAGGCGACAATGCTTGTCCTACGAGGTGACAAACTGGATCGGGTGGTCAGGCACGTTGACTTGATTGATGCTTGTCATCATATCCCAGTTACGTTGATTGATGCTGATGTTGTCAATCTCTGGATTGTCTGGTCCAGACTCAAGTATTTACAGACCACCGTTATATAGCTGGAATATTGCTGAGTGCTGCATTAAACGACAAACAAACAAACACTCACCCACTCACTACTGTCATACTGTGTAGGATGTCGATGGCCATCCCGCTGGTGGACGGAATGTTGGTGAGTCGACGCACACTAGGAACACTGGTCAGACAGACAGCCATCAACATTTGCCGCAGGAAGAGACTGGAGAGTGAATCGTAAGCAACATGATAATATGTTATTATACTCTTACTTGTATTTTGTGTACATGACTTTGTTTTGCATCTGAAACACCACATCATTATAAGATACTTTTGTTTTTCTGTGAGGTGGTGGTGTAGCTTAGTTGTTGAAGCATTTGCTTGTCAGGTTTTCCTCAGACACAAACAAGAATCTTAGTTTCAGGATAACACGTGGAGCTCATTTTAGCATCAAGCCATGACCACAGTGTGTTCAGATGTGCATTTGATAATCTCATATCATGCACATTCATTTTTTTCACTTGCTTGACATGTGTTTTTTAAATCAGCATAAGTAATGTTAGATTTACCATAATCATTTATATATGTGTATATTTTATCAATAAATGACCTCAAAATATGATACTTTTATCATGGCACAAAGTACACATGTATCATATTGAAGCAAAATGTTGGTTAAATATTATACAGCTGAGTGAATGGAGGGCGAGTTATTGACATTTATAGCTAAAATGGATAGAATTATCATTAAACAGCCCGCATGTTATCAAAAGTGAGCAGGCCGCTTTAACTTGATAATGCCCTCATATTGCTTGACGACGGGCCATTATCAGCCCCTATTATAGGTGACGTCATAGGATAGGGATATGTTCAATAGTGACGTCATCTGGTTTGTTCTGTGATGTTTCCATATTTGTAAAAGTTGGTCAGTGACATTGGTGTCGATTGCAGTAAATGTTTCAAAACCGATATTGTTGTTTCTTTTTATTTGATAACAAATTCCATCCATTTTAACTAAAATAATGGTAACACTATCTTTCAGGGCATTATCATTTACAGAAGCCCTCAGTCTTTTCAACTGCGCCCCTTCATCGGGCCTCAGGTTTCTGCAAATGATAATGCCCTGAAAAATAGCGTTACCCTTATAATATTCCTTCCAGGTACAGGCAGTGGGGTAGCCTAGTGGTTAAAGTGGTTGACACGCCTAAGACCCGGGTTCGATTCCCTGTGTGGAGCCCATTTGTGGTGTCCCCAGCCGTGATATTGTTGGAATATTGCTAAAAGCAGCGTAAAACCATACTCACTCACTCCTTCCAGGTACCAGCCACCCCACGTGAGACGCAAGCTGAAGATACAGGAGGTGGTGAACAAGTATCGGAGCAGCTTGACAGAGGCTGAGTTCTACACAACTCTCTTCCAGGATATGCCCAAGTGAACACATCACGTCACGATCAACCCACCCTAGTGACAGTCTTTGTATTGAAGTTATTTCTCCTTAGAATAATCTTTCAATCACAGTTTTCATATTTATTGCAAAGACTATATACACCAACAGAAAGTGAAGCCAACAGATATTGCTGTTGAGTTGTCGAACTGTTAAGGAGTGACCAAAGCATAGCAGGAAGGAAGATCAGTACTGAAGGTCTTGACACTCACCGGCATCTTGCATCTTGTATCTGTGTTTATGGCTGTAGTGCAGCCAATGGTGTAGTTCAGTGTCAGATGTCACACCAATGAATGGGTATGGTCAGCAAAACACTGGATACAAGCTGGTAAATCATCTAGACTTTTCACGGTGTATGAATATTTTTCATGACAAGTATCATATTTTTGTCAGTCCCAGATTTGAAAAAGAATATGTGATGACATGAATGTCAAGTTTATTATACAATGAATATGATTAATGTTATTAATAATTACACTATATGTTCACATGCAATTTCTAAGCATCCAATACTCAATATCATCTCCAAATCTGAAAACACATAATGCTTAATTACCTCCTAGTATATTGTGACTGTCTGTCTTGTATCCCTGGTGCTGTGTAAGATGCCAGTGTCTGTATGTATGCGGCTGAGTACATGGTACACCCCTTGCTTTACCATCACAAACTGGCTTCCACAAGCGATATCACATGGGTGAGATCAAGCAATATCTTCTAGGAGTTATTACTACCATAAAATTGCATCACAATGCCTTGCAGACCATTATGATGTCATCGGTTTCCATGTCACCATCAGATGACATCACTAATGTCTCTGCCTCTGAAGCTGGTAGCAGTACATTTTACAATCAAGACACTTGTTATTACTGTTTGCAGATAAGTTGGAAGAATGGTTTGGGGTGATGAATAGAATCTCATCTTGTATCAGTTGATGTCAAACACTCATCATCATGCATCAAAGTTTTATACTTTTATTGACTCGTGTCGATGAATTGATGTAGAAAGGCACACGAATGAGATTCTCTCTATATTGTGCCGTGTAAGATACAGTTAGTATGGGTATGCTCATGCTGTCAAAGTTGGCCCAAATTTAATACCATTCTGTGAACTTCCTTGGATGTTTTTAATGGACATTCATTATGACAGAGAATTTGCCAAACATCATAAGCAAGTTGGATCTCAAGTGACTCAGTCACTTATCACTATTGGCAAGATTATAATCAAATATCCTAAAAAGCCTGAGTTAGCAAAGACCAAAATGTCATTTGAACATGGCAGCAACTAATAAATACATAGTCTTTGCTACTTAATTTGCAATGGGACGTGTGTTTGTCACTATGCTTGTACCATTCAAGGGAGATAACTTTATTCTCCTCTATGTTTCTTTGTTTAGAACACTTTATGGAACGAGGAGATACAGTTTCTGCTGATACCCTGCTTCAAGTACAGTTATCCTTGATTGCAAATGCAGTTGTTGGTCTTGACAATACCTGCCCCCCATTCTCTGATATGGACCAGTATTTTACCATACAGTTGATGTAAACACTGGCACATCTATACAGTGTATCTATGTTCATACTTAATGGACCAGTATTTACCATACAGAAGTTGTATATACTGGCACATTATAACAGTGTATCTATGTTCATACTTAATGGACCAGTATTTACCATACAGATGTTGTATATACTGGCACATTATAACAGTGTATCTATGTTCATACTTAATGGACCAGTATTTACCATACAGATGTTGTATATACTGGCACATTATAACAGTGTATCTATGTTCATACTTAATGTCTTTGTTATGCAATAGGGCACGTGCTTTATGGGAGATGTGCAGTATATGGTTAATATTGTTGATCTAATTTGTTTTGTTTTTATGTTTGCAAATGAAACCTTACCAGTCTGACAGGTATGTGGCCAGGAGGCTGAAGGGTATAGTTCAGGTGTTCATTTGATACTGAACAGTGGACGGTAGGTCCTTGTCCTAGTGGCTGAATGGTGTGGGGTCTCTACTGTGGGGGCATACATGCAAGGATGTCTGGTCTCTACAGAACAGTGGATGGCAGCTCCTTGTCCTAGTGGCTGAATGGTGTGGGGTCTCTACTGTGGGGGCATACATACAAGGATGTCTGGTCTCTACTGAACAGTGGATGGCAGCTCCTTGTCCTAGTGGCTGAATGGTGTGGGGTCTCTACTGTGGGGGCGTACATGCAAGGATGTCTGGTCTCTACTGAACAGTGGATGGCAGCTCCTTGACCTAGTGGCTGAATGGTGTGGGGTCTCTACTGTGGGGGCGTACATGCAAGGATGTCTGGTCTCTACAGAACAGTGGATGGCAGCTCCTTGACCTAGTGGCTGAATGGTGTGGGGTCTCTACTGTGGGGGCGTACATGCAAGGATGTCTGGTCTCTACTGAACAGTGGATGGCAGCTCCTTGACCTAGTGGCTGAATGGTGTGGGGAGCTGATGGTCTGTCAGGGTTGGGCCACACATCACTAGGAACTGATGTCACTGTTACATTGATGACTGTCTTCAGTGTACAAATATCTTGAAGCTGCTCTTTTTCCCAGATGTGCTACATATATATGTAGGGTGAGATGGAAAGGGGAATGGTGACCATTAGCTTCTCCTCAGGGAGATGAGAATACAACATGATGCACCTGAACCATTGACTAGGATAATACTGTCCTCTGTTGTATAGAGTCTGTTGCTATAAAAGTAACACCTGATCTTAAAGGGCAGTGGTATAACGTTATACCAAGGAATTCTGTCCGTCCTTCCGAGGAATTTTTTTGCGTGTGACCTATTACTTGAAAACTACTGCATAGATTCTTCTCAAACTTGGTGAACACTTTTATACTAATAGGAGAGGTGCAGTGCAAAGTTTGATTTTGATAAATGGATTTTCTGAGAAAATATTGCTTTTTTCATGTTTTGAAATTAGAAATATGTTGGAGTCAAAGATGGGGGTATTAGTGAGACCTGCTCATTTTTTGCCTTTATATTTTTATGTTGTTTTGGTTATTATTACAGTCAAACCTTGCCATGTTGAAATTCGCGGGTATCTGTGGAAAAGTTCAAGTTATCTGGAGTTCGAGGCAACCAACAAGGTGAATTTTCAAAAACCAAACATCATGTTATAAGAGATTATTACACGTAATCTTGTCATTTTTGGTTTATGCTACATCTCAACATCATTAACCACATTGGTACAAATAATAAAATACTTGTATTACTGGTATGCTAATTGTTTTAAATAGTTTATTCATCCATTCAATACTGATTTTCTTTGACTTCTGACAATCTATAGCTCCAATAATAGATCACAAACATGATCTTATCTGTTTTACATTTACAAACACTTCAGTAACTTCAGTATTGGTATGTTGTTAGAATGCATCCTGTTTGACGCAATTGCAGTGAGGTCATTGAGTTATATGTGGACGTTATTTATTTTATTAAACTGTTGGAGTCGTCAGGGAAACTTATGCTTAATTTGGATACTTGGGATTCCGGGGCCCCTATGAAATTGAGAAAGCTGTCGTTATGACTCATCCAGTTCCATAGAGCCGAGCATTAATAATGATAAATATAGAAGTATAGAAGATAGAATGGCATGGCAGGGACCGGAAGGTGAGTTTCAGACAACCAGGAATTCGACACATCCAAGTTCAACACAACAAGGTTTGTTTTTTATTTATTTATTTATTTATTTATATATTTATATATTTATTTATTTATTTATTTATTTATTTATTTATTTATTTATTTATTATCAGGTAGATTTATGAATTAAGTGTGGTTAGTTTCAAGGGAGTATTGGTGTTATAAAAAAAATACACATCCCAGATAAAACATGAAAATAAAAAATTAACTATGTCACCAAAACATTTTAATATTTTTTTTCAACATTTTGCAACAAATCACAACTGATATATTATTCATGGCTCTGTAGCAAGCATACTTATCCTGGTGTTCTGCACTACATCTACATGATGGATGGAAGACATCACGATGGAAGCATGCACATAACATGTAGGCTAGTCATGCTGGGATTACATTGTCGGTCCATCCCAGGAGTAAGATGAATTTACATAAGCTAGATTCCACACAGACTTTAGGGACTACTGCGCAATATGTGTACTTCCCAAAATCATCAAAAATTACAAAACTGTCAAAATCTTCAGCAATTTTTTTATATTGCTAGAAATCATATTTTCCGTCTTGTCTTCATATTGTTTCACACAATCAATAGACTGTATATCTACTTATAGACAAAATAAAACAAATTGTGTCTCATGGGTATCAACATTTTTCAAACTAAGAAAAAAATGGATTGTCTGGCTGACACACCGATTCTTCAAAAGTCAGTTCCTGTGAAGTGTCCATGTTTTTGTAGCCTACCCATCATGATGGTTCACTGAATCTGTAGAAATTACAATAATGATACATGGGACAAATGCTGAAGGCTGTGTTGGGTTGCGCTCATCTGTATAATATTCTTTACCCTCCTAATAGACTTCGGAATCAATACGATTGCCCAGCTATTCTATGACCACAAAAAGTAACACCATGGCAATCTCCGGAGACAACATCTGTCCATAAACTTCATCAAATGATTGATTTTGGCGTATGGGATAAGATTTCAGAGACAAATTTCCTTGGCTGTTGTCCTGTGGGAAACAATTAATTCATCAAAAAGAGCTGTTCGCATGTTTCATATAATTGCTGTTTCTCCCAGTTTAATAACCGTAATAGCCTGTTATTACATTGCTTGTTGTAAGTAACACAATAGATGGAGATTATTGGGTGAATGCTGTTAAATGCCACAGGCTGAAGTATTCCAACAGTATCTTTTAAGTAATTCAGTCTGAACCAGACAAACCAGTGGTTGATGTTATGAGCATCGTCTCACACTATCAGGGTATGATCAACCAAGTCACCGAGTCTAACCACCCGATCCATTTATGTTTGTTTGTGTGTTGTTTTGTGCCGCTCTAAGCAATATACCAGCTATATGACGGCGGTCTGTAAATAATCAAGTCTGGATCAGATGATCCAGTGATTGATATCATGAGCATTGATCCTCACAGTTGGGATACTATGACATGCATCAACCAAGTCAGCGAGCCTGACCACCCGATCCCGTTAGTCACCTCTTATGACAAGCATAGTTGCCTCTTACAGCAGGCATGGGTTGCTGAAGACCTATTCTAACTCAGATCGTCGCGGGTCTCCATTTATGTGAACAAATTGGTGTCATGAAGGATTTGGGATTATTTTTCTCAACTCAGTTTAACCAGCAATGTTATTTCTCTTGAAAATATGACACGAACATGGCCACTTCCAGCTGAGTAATATGTTAAGGGAAGACATGTAGCTCTCTATGTTTATTTGATGTACAAGAGGTTTGCAAAAGCTGTTTCTGGTAACAGGAAAAGGTGTAGGAGAAGCATGTTAATATTGATTGTGAATTTCTTAAACATACTCTACTGCTCAATGAGATATTCTGAGGATTTTCCCCTGGGAAATCACCTAGTTTTGTCAAAGCAAATGTGAAATGTCATAAATTGAAAAAAACAATTTGTCTACAGTGAAAATTACAGTCTAAATATACTCGTAATGAATAAAAAAATACTTTTAACATTTATTTAAGCATGATTTACAGAACTAATCTAAAGCTAATTCAAAGCTTGTCTTCCTTTGTGTATATTTCAGATAAACACTTTTACATGGGTTTGATGTTACAAGTTTCTATTCTTGTAGAACTATCTGATTCAGTATTTGTTTTATTTGTTTAGGAAAAAAACATACTTGGATGAGGACACACAAAATTCAGGCACTAATATGTCAGTTGATGAAACCGATCTACATCTTCTGAAACATCCTCAAAGCCCAGGCAAAGCTTTTGAAATAAAGTTGAATTTGTTGAATCTAAAAGAGTTAAAGCTATTGATCTTAAACCTAACGAGACATATGTATTTTGTGCTTTAAGAAATTGACAACATATTAAATATTACATATATGCATAACGTATTTGTGTTTGTATGTAAGCATTAAGTATTTCTGTAATATGGGTGTGTTGTGAAGAATATTAGTTTCTGCAGTAGTCAGCTATATCCCTGTAGATGTTATCAAACACGAAGTGTTGCAAGTATTTAGTTTGTTGTCAGTATTATCTCCTGATGTTTGCTAAACTGCATGGATTTTATATCTTGTTCACAGTGTATACAATGTATGTACAGTATCTACGATATATTAAACACCCAGATAGATGGTTAGTAAGAACCATTACACCTTACGTAAAGATCAGCTTTTTTAACACAAAATATCAAGGTTATTGGGGCATCAGTGCATGAGACATAAAATGTATTTATTCTCACATGACATGACAGTGTGGGATGTTATATGTATGTAAATGTTCATGAGATAGTTGTTTTTATTACTCACTCTACTAGTCATGAAATAACAAAGGTCATGAGAGATATATTATTTATCAATCCAAATAAAAAGGATAATATTTTCTTATCATTAGTAGTGAGTTCCGCGTAGTTACTATATAATTAACAAATGTAAACAGTTATGTTCAACCTACTGGTAACTCGACATTAGGCTGGTTGTAGCTGGTTATTTTAGGTTGGTTATGTTTGCTGATAACTCATTGTGCAGGCTATTTGTAATACAGAATGCACAGAATTTGGTGAGTTAACTATACTGGTAATGTACAAGTGTGTTCAGTAGCTGAGGAATATGGAGTCTATCAGAGTTTATATGTGTCTATTGACGAACATAGTTGTACAGTTTTGTACAGACACTATGCTAGCTCAATGATCAAGTGGTACCTGAATTTGATACAAAACGCGTAATTCACTATTAATTATAGATAAATGGTTTCATTTGCCATATTTGCCAACAACAACATCTCTTGGTAGTTATAACTCAAAGATGTGTGTGCACATGTATTGGAATGTATTCCCACTTGATGAACACACTCTTGCAGTCTCGCTTTAGAAGCTTGGTGAACGTTAAACTCCATAAATGGTAAATGTGTCATCCTTAGTTTGCATTGAAAAAACAAATTCTTCATTTTGTGGTATGTGTGTTGTGACAGCCCAACCAGGCTGTTACATTATTTATTTCCTTGAAGCTGACTGTATGTGTGAATGTCATTGTTATTTCAAATATATAGTCCTCCTGTAGGATTTGTTCATATCATCACTCCTGCAAGTGCCATGGCTTTGTACAATGTATATCAAAACTCAGACATGTATTCTGAAGTATATCATGTGTCAGCTGCCCATTAATAACAAATTAAATTGTGATAACGACATGACAATCAGAAGTGTTGTTTGTTTTCTGTCGAGCTGGCATGCTTTGTTTTATTTGTTTGCTCCTTAACACCACACTCAGTAATATTCCAGCTATATGACGGCGGCCTGTAAATAATCGAGTCTAGACACGAAGTCTGGGATACGATGACATGCATCAACCAAGTCAGCGACCCTGACCACCCGATCCCGTTAGTCACCTCTTACTACAAACATAGTCACCTTTTACGGCAAGCATGGGTTGCTGAAGACCTATTCTACCCCGGATCTTCACGGGTCCCTTGAAGAGTGTGTTGAGTGTTTGTAGATGGAAAGGACAGAAGGTATAGTGCAATTGTTGACACATTATTTAAGAAATAAAGTACGAGTGGGAGTTGTTTATCGTGCAATAAAACACTGCAAGGTGATATGAGATATCAACATGACGTTAGGAAAAAACACATGCTTTAAAATATTTACCCGTTTTTAAATAATGATGACTCCCTGAATAGAATCCGACCGTGCAAGGTTGGACATGTCCATTTTATGAACGTGAAGTTACGTTTGTTCATTCCCGCTTTTTATCACAATTTACACGTCGACCATCTGTACCTTTTCTCCCAATACCGATTGTCATATCTTTCTCACTTTTGGAATTGATCACTCGGTAATTGCGTTTATCTACGCTGCCCAGCTAGATCTATGGGGAACAACTCACTTCACACTTCCCTCTCAAAAATAGCGTCGTCCTATTAACGACGTCATCAAGTTGCGAGTGCAGGTTCGATTCTCCAGAAATGACGTCATGATAGAACAATGTTTTATCGTGAAATTACCACGAATGGTTCTTCAATGTTCTTTAGCTATCTTATATTCCCCTATAGTTTCCGAGGTGAGTTTTGTCATCATATTGCAGTGAAATGGAAGTATTTACTAGAATCAGCTATATGAGAGCTTATCATCAAACAAGGCATGCAGGATTATGGAGTTTGAAACAGACACTATCAGTTCTTATATCTTCCTGGTTCTAGAAAGTGTGCCCCCAGTCTATGCCTAAATTACCACAGGGATTGTTTTTCAGGTGCACTATTACAATTATCAACAGTGTTTAGGGGAGTAGTTCACCGTATTTGATGTTATGTTTCAAGTGATACTGTAACGTAATAGGTGGAGGTGAAATACATGTGGATATGTAATCTACTGGGGCAGACACACTGAAAGAAAGATGGTAGTGTAATGGAGGGCAACAATCAGATTCGTATATTTTTCTGTAACACAAGTTTGATTATATGTTTCTGTCATTTGATTCTTGATAAACAGAATCAAACAGTTGTCAACAGCTTAAAGCGCCTCTTGAATACATCTACTGTGGCTTCTCTGAAGGGTCAAGATGTTATATCATGGCTAACAAGGGGAACTCAGTGGTCAAGTTTTTTTATCATTGCTAACATGGTAACTCAAGGGTCAAGTTATATCATGGCTAACAAGGTAACTCAATGGACAAGTTGTTATATCATGGCTAGGAAGGTAACTCAATGGTCAAGTTGTTATATCATGGCTAACAAGGAGAACTCACATGAGAGTCAAGTTGTTATATCATGGCTAGGAAGGTGAACTCACATAAGAGTTAAGTGTTATATCAGGGCTTACAATGTGAACTCACATGAATCAAGTTGTTATACAATGTCTAACAAGGCAAACTCACATAAGAGTCACGTTTTCATTTCATGTCTAACAAGGTCAACTTGCATAACGTGTCATTTTACTAATGAATAAAAACAAACATCTGTGGCATGTGCTAAGTCAAAATGATCACAAGCCTCTCAAGATGACCACACCCAACACA